CATGTGCCTGACTGCATCCACATAGATCGACTAGCCACAGTGTTAAAAGGATAGTCTCAAAATATATAGGTCTGGGAAATGTTTAAGGCATACTGCGTCGCTATAAAATGAATTGCACTACTATTTTCACAATTTTATATTTGGTGTCAAATACACATATCTTGGTATATTTGAAGTCCCAAAACGGCTTAGTTTCAGAAATATCCCAATTTTAAATTCAAAAATGACCGTTAGCTCCGCACCCTCCGCTCATTTGCGCCGCACCCAATATTTCCCACAGGCTCTGTCTGCATAGGGTGATAACTGAACACAATAGATACAAGGCAGCGTACTTAGTCCGCATTAAATATTCGGGTCGTTCTTTCCCCGCGCGCAGAGTCTAATTATAAACTACCTCTCTTTTGAGGAGCGAAGTCAAACGAACGCAAAGGGTAGGTCGTTATGTTTGCCTAGGCTCACTGCCTTAATTACAATATCAGTTTTTTATGAATATACGTATGTGTACAACTTTACATTTACGCTTGCTATGGTAACCAAGTTAATGGTGCTTTGCTTCATATCATATAAAAAGAAAACATTCCATTTCATATAAACTACCTATTCATCCTCTTTATTTAATCAAACCAATATCTATAGTGATGCTTCTTGGTAACATTAACATCATATTTCTATATTTTAATTATAGCGGAGAATTATTTTTTATGCATGTATGCCTAATTCACTGTTTATTGAATTGATATCAATTGAATACAGATGATATAAGGAGCATATATTCAAGGATTTGAGCTCTGGACTCAATGCATCGTGGATCGACTGAATCATTCCTCTGAAAAGATGTTGTTTTCAAATCCTTGCATGGGCACGCAGCGGGAATGCAAAGTTTAGGAAACTAGTAAACAACGTCTGGGTTGAATGAATCAGCCAAAATAAAAATCAAAAGTCTAATATATTCCATCTTTATAAAACTTTATAAAAACTAGAAATTGGCAATTCCACGGAGTAGCAAATTCTAACGAACACTATGAAGGTGTATAGGCTATATCAAATACCCTTAATTTGCAGATAATAACAGACAAATATAGGAGATGTATTTAGAGTTTACACAAATGTAAGCATTTGGGTGAACATTTTGGATTTTCAAAGGCTCAAATCATAACGTACAATACAATATTTAAGATCTAATGCAATGCAATTCGAAGATATCTCTAGATGATAGCGAATTCCCGCTTTTGGCAGCCATTTAAACATTTCTGAGGCACATATCAGAAAAACAAGACGATAATTGTGATATATTCTAAAATTCCTTCAATCTGAGTATAACTGTATAATATATTCATATTCTGAAGTGATAAGAGAACGATTGCGAAATCCCACATAAGGCGGCAATTTTGGATTTTCCGAGGCCCGAATCAGAAAAATAATACAATATTTGCAATCCACTGAAAACATGTGGAATAAGAATTTGTTGTGAATAAACTACATTCAAACAAAAATATTTATTACTTGAAAATGAAAAACTAAGCAAAAAAACTCCCGCCATTTTTAAAGCAGTGGTCATCTCGGGAAACATATTTTTATCGTAAAACTATTAACCAATCTACATCTTTGGATCAAATATGAAGGAAATCCAGAATTCGAGTTATCTTCCGAACAAACAGACGAAATGGACAGACAGACGGCATCAGTATTGTCCTATTGTCGAACTTAGTTCGTTGGCATAATAAACACAAGCAATATTCAAAAATAACCTTATTGCAACACATCGCAGTTTTTCATAGAAAATCAGAAATGTTCAGTTATTGTAAAAAGACCCACATCATATCAATGTCAAACATTTTATAAAGGCAGGACAAAACAAGTAAATGAGCCAAAAATGACATTCAACTCACCTTTTACTGTCCTACATGTATAGAAGCTAGACGCACCAATGAAATTCTTATTTTTAGAGCCCATATCTATATTTTGAAATAGACTTAATACCTTTAAAAGTTACTAATTACTTCGTGCAGATAGGGAATACTAATATTATACTCGTCCCCGTGTGATAATGATACGTGTAAACTTTCATTGATCGATTGAACATAACAGGTCGTCACGCCCGGTAGTCAGACAAAATAAACCGAGAGGTACAGTTTGGTACATAGTTCAACAAATATGGAAAATTATTTTTTTAGTAGAATTTACAATTGAATTGCTGGCTGAATGGATAGGCGCTATGGTAAAAGATGTTATGTCTTCCAGGATTTTTTGAACCGATAGGCTTCTAAAATACGAGATCCATTAAAAAAGACGCAACGTCACCAACATGTAAGAGTCCAACTTCAAAGATCGTACACTCCCCTCCACTCACGTAGTGATAATAGGAATATATCCTACACTGTAAATGAAAACAAAACTTACTGTTTCAATTTTATATTAAAAATAATACAATATTCATTTATTTCTAAAAGTAGATGAACAACATTTAAATATAATATTCAATTGTCAACAGAATTGTGGAAAACAAAGTTAGTCATGTTTGCCTTTAACATGTTTTACTTCTATTTGTGTGTCACCAAGGCAACAATTAGATCCAACATTAAAATAAATTCGAACATGACTGTATTCACGCCTTCTTAACTGTAAAAAAGACAACATTTCACCCGGGGTATATTCGCGAAGAATACCCCTGGTAATACGTGTAATGTGTGACGTCATAACGGCGGGTCGTATTAATGGCGGACCATAATGAATATTCGAAACATTTTGGTGAGTTTTCATGTTCGAATCGTAATATAGACCTCAGAGTAGGGGTAATATCGTCGGATACACCCGCAGGGCTAGGCACAAACGCTTTCGAACCCGTCACTCCCTTCAGTTGTTCGGGGTATAGAAAACGTTTGTGCCTAGCCCTGTGGGTGGTATTCGACAATATTACCCCTGCTCTTCGGTCTTTATTTCTTAAATAATGCCTATCAAAGTGATGTAAGTTTATTATCTAAATTTCCCAGTTTATTTGAGGATGAACAGATTCCGTAGGGGGTGGGGAGGGGGTCATGCCCACTGCCATGTGACTACATGTACAAGTAGATCCTCTCCTCAAACATAAATATCTAAGTTTTTCCACAACTTCTGTTGTAATGTTGAATAGATTAGGCCCTTACTAAGCCCCGGGTATTAAATAAACCCTTGATACGTACATGTTTTACATGTAAACTAGGACCTTTTATTACCTTTTTTATTGATGAGTATTTCACATTAACAACATATACTCCCTTTGTACTGGATTTATTTGTAATGAAGCCCTGGGTATCTAATTAGAAGTAGGTCCTAATCTGCATTGTCCATGGGTATTTCAGGATTGAAGTTTAGGCCAATCTGGAAGATTTCGCAAGAGGGGGGGGGCGACTTTTGCGTATGGATGGGTTGTGTCGCCAACACACCCACGCAAAGCCTAGACGGTGCTGATCAAGCTAGGGTGTCGGTCTGAAATTTAAACCCTCTCCGGAGCATTTCTGAGAGCCATTTGCATTATTCAATACAACTCTCTAAAAAAGAAAAGGCTTATTAAAAGCCCATGGGTGAAATAATGAAGGGGCAATATTACAAGTAAATCCAGTATCCAATAGGGAGAATTCACGATTTAACAACACAAACAGAGACCTTTAACCCGAGTGGCTTAATTAAGAATTTACAATTAAGAATTTACAATTAAGAATTCACAATTAAGAAGTGTCAAGCATGGTCTGTAATGAGTGATGAGAATTACATTTTAAATGCATCACTGGGATGCATCAACGTGATTCAAATGATTAATGTGTGTTGAAAGATGATGTCATCATCCCTCCTATGGGTCCATACACAAGAATTCTAAAATCTTTATTACCCCTTTCTGGTTTGATACTATCCTTCTATATATAGCAAAAATACACTTCAATATCAAGAAGAAATGTAAAACAAGGCACAGGACGTGAACGAGATCACACCATCAAATAGGCAGACACTATGAACCAGAAAAACTGTTCTCCTATTATGTTTACAAATTTCAAGAACAAGAAAACAAGATGGCCGCCCAAAAGTTAATCAGCTCTAGTACTTGATATCCTCTATCATTTGTGTAAATTTGAAGGAAATCCGATGAGCGGTTTTCCTGAAATGGCGATGACAAGATTCTTCGAAAAACCTTCAAAATGGCCACCAGAAAACAAGATGGCCGCTCAAAAGTTAATCAGCTCTAGTACTTGATATCCTCTATCATTTGTGTAAATTTGAAGGAAATCCAATGAGCGGTTTTCCTGAAATGGCGATGACAAGATTTTTCGAGAAACCTTCAAAATGGCCGCCAGAAAACAAGATGGCCACCCAAATGTTAATCAGCTCTAGTACTTCATATGCTCTATCATCTCTGCGAATTTGGAGAAAATCTGATGAGCAGTTTTCCTTAAACGGCGATGACAAAAAGCGGGACGATCACGACCACGATCACGACCACCATCACGACCACGATCACGACCACGACCAGTATGACGACTATATCCCACCGATGGTGTGATAAAAAAAACTTGGTTTTGAGCCCTATAACACCCCCTTTCCTCAGTCAACATTAATATTTGGACTCAATCCCTTTACTACATGAACTTACAAATATGATTTGTAAAAATCGTACAAAATCAATTTCTTATTCATAATAAATTAAATACTACAGTAGTATGCGCTCAATAATTCACAATGTATAAATTCCATACATGATTTCAGCCACTGATTTCAATGGGATATAATGGACTGTAAGGGTTCACAGTCAATATGCTTATGAATGTGTAATTGGTGGTAAGAACATTCAATGAAATAAGGAGATAATTTAACTGTAACTGCTTCTACATGTAAGCTACAATTTGCCTCCAAAAGATTCACAAAACCTCAATGAAGGCACTTGCATTGGGTTAATTTGGAATTTTTTCTAAAAAACAAATTCAAGAAGGCCCTAAATTAAGTACAAGGCATTAACATATACAATGTTACCACCTGCTATTTGTTACAGATGCCAATCGCTGAACACCAGCCACCAGATACCGTCCACAAAATATTGGAGACTATACAATTGTATAAATGTCAACACTGATCTACAATAATCGTACAGTACATTGTATCCCATGTGTGACAATACATGAATAAAACTTGGTAAATCATCTTTCAAATGAAAAGTAAGCAGATAGCGCTTTTAGTGATATCATGGACTTGAAGAAATGGATAGGATTCTTCCATTGAATCAATGGTCCTGCCCTTATTTACTCAAAAGGGGAAATCTCCAGAGTGAAATCTCTGTGATTATTTGTTCAGTCATCTCAAAAATTATGTTTTAAAGCAGAGGAAATACAATGTAATAGATGGCTATCTGTGGTTTCATTTTTGCAATGTGAGTATGTTTGTCATGAATACTGGAATATGTGAGTAAAAAATTGTCACATTTGAATGTTGCCATTTAATTTAGATGGCCATATTGTTTTTTCAAATGGATTAAAATGTACATGATTTTATTAAGGTATTATCGCTCATGAACAATAAATCGAGGCTCGAAAGTGGTCCCACTCAGAAAAGAGCTTGTTTCAATGAATGTGTTATTCTATTGATTTGTAACTACTTAGATGATGCTTCGATTGATTTTACAATTTTACGTTAAACATGTGTTGCAGATTTAGAGGAACTCTAGAACAAGCCACAGAGAATTAAAAAAGATTTTATCATGGTATTTTTTTCTGATCTTAGATAAACTTCAGATTTGTAATTGGATAAACAAAACTAAAATGGGCAAGACCAGTTTCATATAGATTCCTATCTATTCCTTCATATCCATGGTGATCAAGGTTACCTTAGTAACGGTACAATAAAATGCTGTATCCTAGGTAGGTTAGGGGTCATATCATCAGTTCAATTCCAAATTCAACACATAATCAGTTAGTGGAAGGGTTATAAGAGGCAGTTTTGTTAACCAAACAGTACAAATTTCATACCTGAATGAAGCATTTTTAACAAAACATCTTAAAGCAATGGATTATGTGGAGAATTTAGTGCGGAACTTTTGAGGTGACCCCCTATACAAAAATAATCTACAATTCATTTCTAACGCCAGTTAATCGTGGGCCTTTTCTCTTTTCTTTCTTCTTTTTCTTCTTTTTTTCTTTTTCTTCCATTTGTTGTTGCTTTTTGGCCTCTTCAATCATCTGCAAATATATGGTAACATATTATTTGGCCCACCCTGTATATTGATAAAATTATGACTGTAATAGTGTTTGTAGTTGACTGCCTAAGAGTTTTAACCTCTTGACTACCTGGAGTGATGAAATTTCTCGTCATCTCAGAAATGATCTTGAAATCCGTGACGAAAATCTGTCACAAAAATTTTCACTAAAATTGCTCTTATTTGAACAATTTTCAACCAATTTACACGCAAATTGTTTTATAATGTGTAGAAACGATCTCTAATCTCAATCTCTGTCTAATTTTACTAAGACGAGCATCTAAAGTTGTATAGGTATGTAGTAAAATCTCAAAAGATGGCAAAAATGAAAAATTCTCTGGTATCAACAGATTTTAGAGCCTGGGATTCAAGAGGTTAATAATTTCCTTAAGGCTGGAGAACCAACAAGGTACCAATGAAACCAATGTGATTAAAACCTGAGGGTATTATTTAAGAATATAAGCCCTGAACCCGGTGCAATGTGGAACCATTCCTTAAAGGTGCTGCTTTAGAAAATCTGCACAAGATGCATGCATCTAGTGTTAATTTTAAGAAACAATGCCTGAAAGGAACGGTCATTCAACAATGCAATGAGTCTTGGGCTTAAATTCTTTTCACACATTTCATGTATGAAGGTAAAACCTCCCGCTGTCACCCAAGAGTAACCCGGCCATGTGACTTCATAGCTTGCATTCCAATATCCATATTTTACTGATGAGTCAATCCGCCATATTAAATAGCAGCCAAAATTCCCAAATTTGCCCAATCGGCAAAAATAAATAGCGCAAAATTAAAGAAATTTACAGTAGTTCATTTCACCATTTTTTTAACTTTTGAACAAAGGTGTTGTCTCTTGGTTTGGAAACAACACCTTCATGGTATGATTCGGCAAACTATGCACTGAGTCCAGGGCTTAAATCCTTAAACCAATGCCTTCAGGGATATGACTCACTATTACCTCATTTACTTCTGTCTTGTATGGATTTATATAATTTGGGTCTCTTTCTACAAGCTGCAATTCTTGAGCTACCTGGAAAATAGATGTTTTTCACATTTATATGTGGATAGTTACACATAATGGCAGAATACATAGTTTAAACTCAAAATATTGAATTCTGGAATTGAAATCTCATTTCCCTAAACAGTTTTAGTGAAAGTAAGGAGCTACCTTAAAATCAATTAAACTAATTTAATTCTAGCATTCATATTCATTGCCAGACCATTTCTCTATTGATATGGTACCTATACCTAAATTGTGATGACATCAAAGAGTCAATAAAAGATATATAAACGAATATATAAACTATCACTACCCAGAGTGAAATCTTAAAAAATGGCAGCCTACTAGAAATGAGCATGACATTTTTAACTAATCAATATTGGCCATATTAAAACATTTTTCCATGTTCTGCTCAATATGGAAAGTACATATGAGCCTGGCCATAAGAAAACCGGTCTCATCACAAAAATTAAAATTGTGCTACAGAGCCAAAAATGTGCCCACGAAAGTGCTAAATTCAGATCCGACTTTTTTGGTCTATATATGCCAGGAAAAATTGTTAGGACATAAGCCATGGCTCATTTGAAAGGATTCTTTGTGCTTTTTAAGATAAACAAAAAATCAGAATATTGAAAAAATCTGTGATAAGACCCCTTTTCCTGTGGCCTGGCTCATATATCGTTATAGCTACCATATAAGGTAAGAAATAGTCTGGCAAAGAACATCCCTTTAATTTTACTTACTAAACTAAGTAAGTTGAGTTTTTGATCAGAGTCGATTGAAAATATATCACTTTGGTTTAGATATGTGATACACCATCCAAGGCTGACTTGCCATTCTTTATGACGTTCGTAGATTTTGTGCGATATGTCGGGAAGTCTCAATAAAATATCACCAAAGAAGGCTGTTGCTTCAGCCACCATTGAAAATGCTGAAATGCAATTAAATGATTAGTCCGAGTGATCTAAGAGCAATGCAGTGTTAAGCCCTGTTGAAAATCTGAAAATAACAAAATTTGTTCGAAAGCAGGATAAATTACTGACACATTTTAACAAAACTGGTAAAAACAGGATTTGCTGCCCTGTTAAGAAATCCTGAATACACTAAGTAGCACCTTAAAGGTGCAACAAAAACTACAGACAAATTGTGAGCAACTTTCTGGAAAATAATCACAATTCTAAAATATTTTTGCTCAAAGCTTTCCATGTAATGCATATTTTCTGAAACATCAAATCAGTTTTGAATCTATTTTATGTTGAATCCTAGATTTCTAGGTTATTAGGCAATACTCTTGAAAATCTGATCCCAATTTTGTAGTAAACCAAAATTGGACATTTCTGCCTCTAAAATGTCTTATAATATCAGCATTATGCTGCATCAGTTAAGTACTTTCACAGGAGTGATGAAAAACAACAGGTACAATAATATTTTTGATTTCTTCTAACACAGAAAATGATATTGCAAAATTCCAAAAACAACAGGAAATCTTTAGATATGAGGAGACCATGTGTTATCTAGTGTTATTGCCATGTTTCATAATCATACATTGATGCATTGGCAATTTTCAGTAGTAAACATCGATGCTCATAGCGATGTACATCGAGAAATAGTCCAAGAAAAGTGCACTAAAATACCGAACAGAACAAATTAATAAGAGTACGCTGATACATCCGGGAACTTCTTGTAACAGTGAAATGAAAGTAAAGTGAATTTTTTTAGATGAATGGTTCATTTCGACTAGCTAAAACAGTTTTAAAGCGAAAAAATATCAGAAAACATTGGAAAATGAAATAAGACATGAGAAAGGTAAGTGATTTGGGTCAAAATAAGATAAGAAAGGGTGATTTTTAGCAAATTAATTTTTTTAAGAAACATCGATGTTTTGTTTCAGACATCAATCAGGGGCGGATCTGGGAACCAACAAGGGGGGGGGGCCAAATTTCAGGTCAAAGAAAAAATGTCCGCGTTTGCGCGGAAAAAAATTTTGGGCCCCTAAAACGCAAAAGTGGGCCCAAATTTTGAAATTTTGAGGCCCATTTTCTTCAAAATTTGGCCTGAATTTAAAAAATAAGGCCTTAAAAGGCCTAGTAATGACCAAAAAGGCCGACTTTTTGGGGCCTTAAGGCCTTTTTTGGCTCAAAAATTTTTTTGGGCCCAATTTTTTTTTCTGGGCCCACCCAAGGGGGGGGACCCGGGCCCCCAGGCCCCCCCCCTAATCCGCCAGTGTCGATGCATCGCCAGAATAAGCTTTGGCGATGTATATCGCGATGTATCGATTCATCGCGACAACACTAGTGTTATCATTATCTATTTGTATGCAAAAATGATAATAAATGATGGGGAGAGGGGGGGAGTGACTTACTCCCCGTGGCAAAAAAATGACATTCATAACTGCTTTAAATATTTAAAATGACTGTACCTTCTCTTATAGATTCATCTTTTGGAAATTCATCCGTCGGAAGAAAACCATTCTCAATCAGTAAAACTCTTTTCTTCTCTACGACCTGTAACATCCAATTAACAGAAACGTCAATTTGCACATAATGGTCCGATGTTGAGTTGTCTGGTCAGTTATTACATGTACTGTACAGTATGTCAAATTGTCAATTTTGTAATTACAAGTACTGTACTGTAGCAGGCCTGTAACCAGGATTTGCCAAGGGGGTGAAAATTCCAGGGGGTTCTCTTTTGACAAGTTTGGCCCTAAAATGTCCAAAATCACTTGAAAATGCCCAGAATGGTGAAAAACTGGGGGGGGGAGTTAAAGAGGGGCTCGTTCCCCTGGCTACAGGCCTGCTGTACTGTACATGTATAATACTATGAAAGGTGTTGAACAACGCCAAGCTATACTTATAATAAGGTGTTGATTTGATCACATGAAAAACAAGGCAATATGATCTTCAGCTGTATTCAACATGTTGTCTATAAGACTCTTCGTATTACCTAGTTTCCAGAGAAACTTGGGAGATCGGGGGGGGGGGGGTCAATAAATCCTGATACAGTTTTAGTTCTAACATTGTTTTTGTTTTCCCATGCATACATAATATTTTCCCATGCATACATAATATTTTCCCATGCATACATAATTCTCATATGTCAGGGATGTCAGAAATTCTTGAAAATTATATTTGTCCTGATTTTGATCATGTCCAATTATTTTAACTATGTAACTATATGTGACATGAACCTACATGCGAGACACATACAGTAGATGGAAAACAAACATTGATTTTTCTGGTTGTTACCACAGACAAAGGATTACTAATTATATTGCGAGTAGATTACAAATGGAAGCAATCATATGAAAGCAATTACATATTTAGAATTATTGATAATTTCTAAACAGTTCAGATCGACATGGTAACTGATTCACATATGAAAACTAAATAATTTATGAGTCAGAAAATGGCTTGGTCATTCAAGCTTGACAACGTCTCCAATACTGCACAGTCTCTCTTTAAGGAGGGTACATATCGGGGACCTTTAGATAATCTGTTATTTTTAGACCCTCTCTTTAACCATGTTTAGGGGTGGTATTATACTTTGTATGTTACCTTACCTCTAAAAACCCACTTTTCAATATTCTGATATTCATAGCATCTTTCTGTTTCTAAAGGCTGAGAAGTGAGATGTCATGGTTTATCATGGTGACTGTTTAAGACTTTCTATCTTTCTTTGATTTCAATAACTGAATTGACTCCTCCCCCTCTTTTACATTTAATTTCACAAAAACACATTTTTAAAACAACATACTTGTATTACTGTATTACTATCTGTATTACTTTTACTTACATCAAATATTTTTTCGAATAACATCTCAATCATTTTATATTGCTTTTCATAACTGCCCATCTGTAGTATGCTCTTCACAGCATCCAATTGTTCTTTACGTTGCTGCATGAACAGGCGCTTATCTGAGGTTAACTGTTAAGGTCCAATAGATCTATACAATTAACATGTATATGCCAAGGATTATAGACATTAATGTGTTTATTAATGGTTTAAGAATGTGTAAATGTCAGTAGAGTAGCTCTAACATTAAACTTTGAGATGACATGTACATATGTAACAGCATTCACAGATTCACATTATTCAATGAATTTTTTTTTCGCAAAACAGTGAAAACATGTGTTTATGGGAGAAAAACATTTGGTACCTCCAAAGAGTGTTCCACTAGGAACATCTTCCAGATAAGGGTTCATTTCAGACTCTGAATGGTAGTGTTTCACTTATGGAGGTGTTCCACTTACAGAGGTGTTCCAATTAACAAATTTTACTGTATTGTATCATACATGTACATAGAATGACTTTGATGTATTTCATATGAAAAGTCGTATAAAATCAATATAGAAGCTCCCTTGGTCTATGGCTGTAAGTCTCGTAACACCTGGATTTTCACTGCTCTACCTGTATGTCTGAGAGTTTATTATAGACCAACTCTATAATCTTGAAATGTATAGTATTTGTATTTTCGATTCGGAAAAATACTTCAATTTGGTTTTTAACAGATCTTTAACTTATGCGGGTAAATTATCGTTTGTAAATGCACGTTTGCTAGAATAACATGGAAGGAAAAAGATTTGATGTAAAAATACAAAATCATGTGCATGCGCTTCCGTGCTTACTTCCAATTGACACACATGCGCATTAGCGAGATCATTCTACTGAAATCTGAATTGAGGGAGTCAAAAATTTGGAAACTGTCCCAATCGATGTACTGTCGATTGTCGAGGCTCACAACCGATTTCTAAAAGGGGCGGCGGCCCCATTAATACCCTGTCCTACTCCATACACATTATCTTCAATTCTAGCAAGGGCTCAACTTAAAAAATAGGTATATCAGTGCAATCTACATCAAATGCAACGAATGCATGTCACATTTCGTGTTTTGAAAGGATACACACTTCCCACTCTGGCAAATTAGATTTTGCAGCCATTTCTTGGACAGTTTTTCCTTTGATGACTTTCTTCTGCCTTCCTCCATCAGTTGTCTGTCCGCCATCTTGTCCTAATGCGGAATAAAGTCCTAGGAGCAGTATAACCACTAAAACTTGGCTGTATGCTACCTTATACATCGTATAACAGTGTTTGAAGAAGACAGGTGCCAATCATCTGTGTCCATGTGGCAAGCTTATTTGGGAATTCCCTACCCAGAATGCAATAAATTAAAGGGGAAATCCCAAAATGGCTGACGTGGATTTCGAAACTTCGCAGGTAAAATTTGGGTTATTTTGTACTATTACAGCCTAATTATAGCGGAAATGTAGTTTAAATTGTATTTAAATGAATCTTGATGTAATATAGCCTACTTAGAGCATTTGATATTTGAGATGGATATCGATATTGTCGGACCTGGCCAAAATGTGGTAGTGTGGAGAGGTCAAGTCACTGACAAATATTTTATTATGGGATTCTCACAGATTATCTACGTGGGCGCAGACCTGGTTTGGTGGTACTGCGGCTTGAGAGAACATACACGACAAGAATTAATGGCAACAAAAACACATATATCTGTACAATAAAACGTTACAATAAAATATCAGTTTACTCAAATAATGTACTTCTACTGTCTTTATTCATTCTCATATACTCAAAGAGTAATCTCAAAGTCCTTATTATTACTCAAATGCTCTGATAAAATAAAACTCCAATGTCTATCATCACTGAATTGTTCATAAAGAAATACTACTCTCAATGTCCTGAAAATTATATTCACTTGGCTACTCAGTCTCTTCTAAGGTCTTGTTTGATCGTCTCAATTACTCTCTGGTTACTCCTTACAACGAAATTAATAATAATACTCCTGGTTACTCTTCAGCTTCCTCCAATTTACTCTTGGATTCCTCAAGTTACTCCTCCTCTGCTAATATGATCACTCTCAATTTACTCCTCCTGCTCTCAAATTACTCCTTGATTACTCCTAATCTCAGACAACTCCTTAATTACTCTCACACGGTACTCCCAATTGCTCTTCAAATTACTCTTTCAACTGGATTACTCCTGGCCTACTCTCTGTTAGTTCCGCTGAGAATAATAATTACTCTCGGCTCACTGGTAGATTCTGCAGTGCCAATGAGTAAACTTGAATAAATTAGCTCTTACAATAAGAGTGAAACAATGCTGGAGATGAGTAATTCTAATGAGAAATGCACAATCTATATTACTCCCTGATAATTCACATGAGGAGCAAAGGCAAAATATCAATTTACTACACAGATAGCAATACTATGCAAAGTTAACTAGAGAAACGTTGGGAAAGTAAAGTAAGGAGTATTTGTTAAAGCTACAGAATAATGAATTAATCTGTTACAGAAACATGGATTCTCTTTGTATTAGCAAAAGTAGAAGAATACCAAGAGCACAATTATGGAAAGGTTGTTCTCGATCTCAAACTGGTGTAAGCATAGAAATACTGTATAAATCAGGTTCTGATCAACAATAAACAACAATTATTCCCAGTCACTCTCTGGTAGTTCCGCAGGAAGTGACAATTACCTCCAGCTCACTTTTAGATGCCGCAACTGAGAATAAAATTTACAGGCTTAGATATCAAACACTTGGAAGACAACACTGGCAGCCAGATGGAAATATTTAGCTTGGAAATACAAAGTTAAACGCTCATAAATTCACCTTTCATAAAGTCTTAAAAATAATTCACTGCTTCTCAAAATAATAGATGATCAGCACATCATCATCCTCAACATCATTTGAAGCTATGGAATACGAGCCATAGAAAAAGGTTACCTTACCACATGCGTCTTCCTGCTTCTAGATACCTTACTCCAAACTTCGGGTCATCAACAGGTAGTCACACCACACGTGGCCCCAATTCTCTCCCGCTTTTCCCTCTCCAAAACGTCCAATAAACCTACTTCCGTGTAGATTAAACTGCCTCAACAACAGCACAAAATACTTCTCGAATAAATGTCACTATCCTTAATGACAGATTACACTTATCTCCTACGATATCTCCACAAGTTTCAGCATCAATCCAAAGCTAAATGGCCGCCATCTTCCTCACGCTTCTTCTTCTTCAAGCCCCAGGTTCAACTATTGTAAATCAGGGATCCCACGTGACCAATTTTAGGGGAAATACCCTTTACCTTTCGGTCCAGTGTAATTAATAACTCCCGGGAGAGTCCCTCTTATATTGTTAATGACATGTAACAATTAACTTTTAAATTTATTAAAGATTATTACATTTTAATTAAAATAACATAAAGTGGGGAATTCCTAAATTTCCCACACACCCCCCATCTTAAATCAATGCGCCCTCGCATTGCTACTCTTTAACTCGAGTAATGAGTAAACGACTATCTTAATCTAAAGTTCAATTAACTTCAAAAATAACATATAAGAACATTAAACATCTTACAGTCCATAATGTTCCAATTACTCATCCTTAGCTCCCATCTCTTTCCATTAAATCAGAATCTCAAGTGTCTCTTGGTTTTAACTATCATGAGTTTAAAACAATAATTATCAACTACACGTTCTATTTCAAACTACTCCATTCCTACTGATATTTAGTCACTCGCATATCCATTATAAACAAATATCTAAAACTCACTATTTGTGCTACTGTCCAAATACAAAGTTACAACTTAATGTCCATAAATGAGAAAAAACATTTGGTCTCTATCTACTCATTGATCCTGTTGCTTTCGCAATCCTCAGAGAGTAGTATCAACTCAAACAAATCTATGGCCTTTCTATGCACCTCCTCCAAACATCTACGCGACTCCGATGTATGGCCTGATGCTAACCCAAATGTATTTAAAACTGGTATCATCCTTTCCAGCGAGCATTTCATTTCCATGAGTTGAGGAGTGACTGTCTCTTAAGAAACATGCTCTTTCTCTACTATAGGCTCCTCTAATGTGTTCTCATACACCTTGCTTCTCCGGGTAGGCTCTGCTCTTACACTCCTTGGGGCACCTCTTCTTCTCACAGACATTCCATTTGTCTGAGTAGGTTCTACCCTTCTGCTCCTTAAATGGTATCTTTTTGGCATTGGAGTCTCTATATTACTCCTTAGCACATCTTCTTTCGGTAAAGGCTCATTGGTACCTCCTACCAATGGTCGTATAACTGGAACAATATTTGCTTCCTCCATCAATGGTAACTCCTGTCTACAGGGAACTCTATTCTTCAGTTGATCATTCCTCTGATTAAACTTCTTAGCCTTGTTCCTGATGAATGGCTGATTCATAGTCAACTTCTTAAGTTTTCTCTCCTGTCCACCAGAGTCTTTCTCAAGTGGCCATATCTTCCTCTCTTTTAAATTTCTGTGAGCTACCACCTTGTGCTCGTGGACCTTGTCTCTATTGGGCCTCCTTAATCTATTCTCTTGAGTATTATCCCAAGTGAGAGTTTCATGAGTACTCCCTGTAAGTGCACTCTTCAGAGAAGACTGTTCTCTCTGGCTCAGTGATGGTCCATCGCTCCTAGTAGAATTACTATGTACTAAGCTATCCCTCCCAGTACAGTTGTCCTTTCTACTCCCAAGATTCTGGTTATTGGGAGTTGACCTCTTCATCTCATACTCCACCAATGTAGGGTTCTTGCCGACTTGTTTTGACTTTCTCAGTGTTCCCTTGCTGTTCACACTTTGGGTTCTCATTCCACTCTCCTGGCAATACCTACGAGTAAGACTCGCCCCTTTACTCTTCAAAACAAGATTTCTAAGATCATCTGATTTATTCTCATTATTCCTCATTATTCCCCTCATAGATGAGTTTTCCTTAAGTGTAAGTCTCTGGTTCTTATGCAAGGATAGCTCATTGCTCGGAACGTCACTATTTGTATCAGGGATATCATACTGTCTTTCGGTGGATTCTTCTTTACTCTCTCCAGATTCCATCTTAGTAATATCTCTTCCTGGCTCTGGACAGGATTCTTCAGCATCCTCGCTATCAGGAAACTCCATCCTCTCTGTGTCATCAGCATCCACATTCCTATCGAACGTCGTCTTTTTGGTCTTATATGAATCTCCCCTTATGTTGTACTTATCTATCTCAAGTTTACTCCTCTGTGAGTGGCAGGAGGAACACAGCATTATCTCCTCTGCCTTTTGTTCTTGATCCTTGAAGTAAATTCTCAAATTAGGATAATCAATAATGGCTCCACTTGCAGATAAATACTCTGACCCAAGGATACCATCAGGGGCAATATCTGTTACCGCTATATTCATGGGCATCACTTTACCATCTAGTTCAATGTCACATGATATCATTCCATACACAGCTAAATGGGATCCATCTGCCTGTGTGAAGAGTCGATCTAAGGGTCTCAGAGGAGGGCGATGCTCTTTTGGAATACGATTGTAGCAACCCCAGCCTATCATAGTGCTAACAGCCCCTGAATCAACAAGGAATTCCATCCCAGTGCCACAGATATCCACATCTGCTACTATCTTCCGCACCAGTTCCTCTCTATTCCCTGTAGTTATCTCCTCATAACGATCTGCCATAAACCTCACAGGAGTCACAGAATTGGTGGTTACTGTCCTGGACTGATCTTTCTCTCTTTTTGGCTTCTCAGGTAATGGACAGTCAAATGACAAATGCCCAGGTTTGTCACAATTATAACATGTAATTGTTGGACACCATCTTACTCTATGTCCCTCCTCTCCGCACTTTTTACAACTGAATGTACGTTTAGAAGGTCCTCTGTTAGCGATATCGGCTATATCCTTACTCATCTTTCCCAGTGTCTTTTCGAGTAACTGCTCCACTGGTTTTAGTATTTGCTGCAGTTTAGTACTTATATCATCTTCCTCATCAACTTGCAAGATTTTATGATCCCTCTTAGATTTTAGGCCTCTCCTGATTCTTTCCGATTCCTGGTAGCTTTCCTCTTTGAGAGCTACCTCAATGGCCTTATCAAGTGTTTCTGGATCCTTCCTGTGAATAGCTTGTCGCAAATCATCATCTGGTATGGCTTGCTCAAAGCTCCTTCTGGCAAGTCTATCTTGAGCCATCCTGCTCATCTCAGGATAGGCTAACGAAGCTAAACGCCGGATACTCTGGCCCAAACTCTGAAGGGACTCCTTTGGCTTTCGTGTGCGGCTGCACAACTCAGCCTCAAACACGTCGGCTTTCCCCCCTGGTCCAAATCTCTTTTCTAGGGCCTCTATTAAGTCCTCATAGGAATAGCTCTCTTCCAGTTCTAGCACCAATTGTTGGGCGTCTCCACGAAGATTAGTAGCCAAATACTGCCTTTTCTCCTCTGGAGTCCAGCCGTTATTCTCTACGCAAGTAGCAAAGTAAGCCCTGTAATCTTTCCAAGGTGTACTTCCGTTAAATGTTTGTGTTGGCTTTATGCGTACACGTGAATTCTTGTTTGACTTTATTAACTCCGTGCACATGTCCAGAACTTTGGTAACAATCACTGACTCAGCAGCTTTCTCCTCTTTCACCTCTGGAGCTAATGCTTCCTTAGATACCCTCTGCTGGGTATCTCTACTAAGATCTGGATTCGGTACATTACCAATGAGTTCCTCTTGTTGTCTTCTATCCTGATGATCAGAAGGGTATTCCATCGGAGGCTGTAGGGAATGTCTCCCACTTCTCCTTATCTCACTCCTGTCGAGTTCTCCTGCGTCATGGAATTCCCCAACCCCCTCCTGGGCCAACGGCTCACGGGAGTATTGGGTAGGTTTCTGATGAGTCTCTTCTCTGAGCAATGGAACAGATCTCCCCTGCTCTTTCAGTTGCTCAGAGTAACTCCCTCCAAATTCTCGTGATAATGGCCACCTATCAACCCCCATCTTAGCATCCTGTGACCATCCTTTGCCAAGATGTGATGCTAATTCCTCATTAACATATTGGTCTTGTTTCTGGAGTGATGGCCTCTTCATATAGACACCTGAGCACACATCTCCACGTACCTGAGTGTTTACTCTTCCTGTGGTGTCTTGTTCCTGAGTGTTTACTCCACTCTTCTGTTCTTTCTCTGGATATGCTGCCTTTGTACTCCTGTAACTCTGATTCTGGAATCTTCCTGGTTCATCAGGAGTCAAACAACTATCCCCCTTCGTAGCAGGGAGGCGCTGCATTATTTCAGTCAAAAAGCCCTTTACTTCCTGCTGACCTTCATGGTGACTTGTATTTAGTCTCTCTAATTCTTGGTGTAACTCCCTTTTAAGATTTTCCTGACCTGAGTAAACTTCCCTTCTCAGATCTTCATACATAGTTCTATTTTGTTGATCCAGAGCCTTCATCTGGCTGTTTAAAACAGACATCTGCAATTGCTGACTCTGTAGCTCCTGTTCAATTGGCATAATTACTCCTTGAGATTTTCCATCTAGTACAGTGGATGTTAAAGGGTAACCTCTTGAGGGTGTCATCCCATACCCTTCTCCCTGTACTGTGTATCCAGTCTTAGACCTTGATCCTGCTGGACTTTCCTCTGCTTGTCTTGCAGATTCGGTTCCACTAAACGTGTCTCTTCTGACTGGCACTGTATCATCAAGCCCAATATCCATTTGAGCATTATCTCCTTTGAAGAAGACAGTGTTATCAGCGGACTCCTCCTCCTGTCTTCTCCCTTCCGTCTGGGATTCCACGTATTCCATCCCTTCCTCTGGTTTAGTTGCCATATTCTCTTTTGGACGTCCTCCCTAAGCAAATCCCGACGCTGCCACCAATGTCGGACCTGGTCAAAATGTGGTAGTGTGGAGAGGTCAAGTCACTGACAAATATTTTATTATGGGATTCTCACAGATTATCTACGTGGGCGCAGACCTGGTTTGGTGGTACTGCGGCTTGAGAGAACATACACGACAAGAATTAATGGCAACAAAAACACATATATCTGTACAATAAAACGTTACAATAAAATATCAGTTTACTCAAATAATGTACTTCTACTGTCTTTATTCATTCTCATATACTCAAAGAGTAATCTCAAAGTCCTTATTATTACTCAAATGCTCTGATAAAATAAAACTCCAATGTCTATCATCACTGAATTGTTCATAAAGAAATACTACTCTCAATGTCCTGAAAATTATATTCACTTGGCTACTCAGTCTCTTCTAAGGTCTTGTTTGATCGTCTCAATTACTCTCTGGTTACTCCTTACAACGAAATTAATAATAATACTCCTGGTTACTCTTCAGCTTCCTCCAATTTACTCTTGGATTCCTCAAGTTACTCCTCCTCTGCTAATATGATCACTCTCAATTTACTCCTCCTGCTCTCAAATTACTCCTTGATTACTCCTAATCTCAGACAACTCCTTAATTACTCTCACACGGTACTCCCAATTGCTCTTCAAATTACTCTTTCAACTGGATTACTCCTGGCCTACTCTCTGTTAGTTCCGCTGAGAATAATAATTACTCTCGGCTCACTGGTAGATTCTGCAGTGCCAATGAGTAAACTTGAATAAATTAGCTCTTACAATAAGAGTGAAACAATGCTGGAGATGAGTAATTCTAATGAGAAATGCACAATCTATATTACTCCCTGATAATTCACATGAGGAGCAAAGGCAAAATATCAATTTACTACACAGATAGCAATACTATGCAAAGTTAACTAGAGAAACGTTGGGAAAGTAAAGTAAGGAGTATTTGTTAAAGCTACAGAATAATGAATTAATCTGTTACAGAAACATGGATTCTCTTTGTATTAGCAAAAGTAGAAGAATACCAAGAGCACAATTATGGAAAGGTTGTTCTCGATCTCAAACTGGTGTAAGCATAGAAATACTGTATAAATCAGGTTCTGATCAACAATAAACAACAATTATTCCCAGTCACTCTCTGGTAGTTCCGCAGGAAGTGACAATTACCTCCAGCTCACTTTTAGATGCCGCAACTGAGAATAAAATTTACAGGCTTAGATATCAAACACTTGGAAGACAACACTGGCAGCCAGATGGAAATATTTAGCTTGGAAATACAAAGTTAAACGCTCATAAATTCACCTTTCATAAAGTCTTAAAAATAATTCACTGCTTCTCAAAATAATAGATGATCAGCACATCATCATCCTCAACATCATTTGAAGCTATGGAATACGAGCCATAGAAAAAGGTTACCTTACCACATGCGTCTTCCTGCTTCTAGATACCTTACTCCAAACTTCGGGTCATCAACAGGTAGTCACACCACACGTGGCCCCAATTCTCTCCCGCTTTTCCCTCTCCAAAACGTCCAATAAACCTACTTCCGTGTAGATTAAACTGCCTCAACAACAGCACAAAATACTTCTCGAATAAATGTCACTATCCTTAATGACAGATTACACTTATCTCCTACGATATCTCCACAAGTTTCAGCATCAATCCAAAGCTAAATGGCCGCCATCTTCCTCACGCTTCTTCTTCTTCAAGCCCCAGGTTCAACTATTGTAAATCAGGGATCCCACGTGACCAATTTTAGGGGAAATACCCTTTACCTTTCGGTCCAGTGTAATTAATAACTCCCGGGAGAGTCCCTCTTATATTGTTAATGACATGTAACAATTAACTTTTAAATTTATTAAAGATTATTACATTTTAATTAAAATAACATAAAGTGGGGAATTCCTAAATTTCCCACAATATTCAATGTGAACTTCAATAAGAAATAATTTCAATTTTTTTTTTAAATATTAGGCTAGGCCTAGGCCTAGTCCAACAACATTAGACCTAGCCCGGGCCTCGTTTCTTATCTGACATGTGTTATGGCCCGGCTAGGTCTAACCTCCATGACCATTTTGCCTTTGATGCGTTAATTTAATCGTTCAGCAGGTTTCGACAAGCGGAACTAATTGAACCCTGAAAACATGGCAATATTACACAAAGAATGTGATTCAAGCATGCATACATACCTTATAAACACATACACCCCGTCCCGTATCCCCCTTAGACCCTATTGATGCATAATTACGAAAATATTGGAGACAGGTTCGGAATATGACGAAAATGTCGGTCAGTTTCGGTAACATCGAAATTGCAAATCGTTTCAGGAATTAACCGTCATCACGGCACTGCATTAACGAACAGTTGGTTTGCAATTAATAACTATTTTGCGTGTATATACGCGCTATATAAATTAATCAAAGATACCTGTTATCCTCAAAATTTATCTTTTTATCCCGAGTAATCGCGATAATAATTATCAATCTATTTGACAACAATTTCGTTTCGCTGGTAGTTTAATTTTACGATCCGGGACACTCAGACGAACAGACACAATGACGGACATGCGGAAATGTCACTTTAGAGATTGGTAAGTGTAGCCTCATTTTACTCGTATAAATGAACATTTAACACAATAATATTGTGTTAAATCGCTTGATGTTATGTGTTTTTATATTATTGTCAAGTATCAGTTGCACGTTATCGCGGAAAAATGGTTTCGATGGATTCAGAACTTGCATCAAAGGAAAGAATAGTAAGGAGGTTAAACTCAATAATGGCCCGAAGAAAATTCCTAATAATAAAGAACGCCGTTATTGAGTTTAACGACGTTGAACTAGGCCTAGGCCTAGCCTATTATTATTAAAAATTGAAGCCACTAATGTAGGCTTATCCAGTCACTTATAAACACTCTTAATCGACCCTTGAAATGAATGTACTAACAGAAGTGCTACTTTAAAACGGTGCGCTGAGAGGTTGTCCAGGTACATGACCTAGCTTGCAATCTTGAAGCTGAATACTGAGAATTCATCTTCAAATCTACCTGTGGTATTTTTCCAAAACTTGTGAAATTTGCCAAATTTAATTTCCGCCAATTTTGCCCAATTTTCCAAATTAAATCTCGCCAAATTAAGTTGACCAACAGTTACTCAAAATCTAAAGAAGACTTGTTTTGGCACACTGTACTCCTAGTATATTTTGACACTATTTAATTTTGTGAATCTTGAGAAATCACAATTTTGCGTAATCCACAAGTTTTTGGTAAAATCACAAATTAAATCACACGCATAAAATACCAAGAGTACAGTAGTCCAAATCAAGACTATTAATATCAGAGCCATATAATTTTCTTAAATGATGGCAAGGTGTATTCTTGTATTTAATCAGTAAATCATTGCAGCAGGTCCCATATACTTCATATATGATGAAAATGGGGATTGATGGTTGAAAATGAAATAAGTTTTATTAACAAGCTTGTAATTATTTTACTTTATATGATTGAATGGAGAATGAACTTTATCAATAAAAGTCATAAACTACAAGAAAGGAGGAGGGAAGTTAGCGCAACAGATTTTGGAGAGTCATATGTTTGATTTTGGCCATTTCCTGGGGATTTAAACAATTGTATATGTTAGGCGAATGTATTACCTCCAGGAAAATCACTTCTAGAGATGATAAGATAATTTCGACTTTGAGACAGGGTAGATGCAAACAACCCACCCACATGTTTTTTCTGAAATGTTTTCCTGATTTTCAACCCCTTCCATCCCTGCTTTTTTAATTTTTCTTGCATCAGTATGTTGCGTTTCGACACAAAATTAATCCCTTAAAAGGAATAAATGATTCCTTTTAGATAAAGTGGAAAACAATATTTCCCATGTTATTTTCCCACAGGAAAAATAATTGCTTTCAGCTAAGTTTGGTCACCCATAATGGGTATCTTTAAAACCCCTGAAGGAATCATTTATTCCTTTAAAGTGGTTAACTATGTGTCAAAATGCAACATATTGATGCAAGAAAAATTAAAAATGCAGGGATGGAAGGGGTCGAAAATTAGGAAAACATTTCAGAAAAAACATGTGGGTGGGTTGTTTACATCTACCCTGTCTCAGAGTCGAAATTATTTTATCATCTCTAGAAGTGATTTTCCTGGAGGTAATGCATTGGCCTAACATATGCAATTGTTTAAATCCTCAGAAAATGGCTAAAATCCAACACATGACTGTCCAAAATCTGTTAATTTCCCTCCTCCTTTATTGAACGTATCATGTTATTTTTATCTGTAATGTGTGGCCCAAATTGTGGTTTGTTAATGTATGGGAAGACATGCAATAAAAATGTAATAACTACTGTAGATTGGGTTAATTTGCCGCCCGCTTTAATTTAGCGAATTTGGCGAAATGGAAAAATTTGACAATAAATCTCAAAAGAAAAAATGAACATAGCCAAACATGCCCATTTACATGGTAATTCACAAACAGCGCGTAGGTTTAACATTTTTTTGCATATCCACCAAATTTAATAGCCGCCAATATGCCAAAAATGGCAACATCGCCAAATTAACCCAATCTACAGTATATAGCCAATCAACTGAAATAAAGCATGGAGATTTACTTATGCAGTGTGTGATTATTTCAGAATATAAATGAAATCTTGCACCCAGTTGAAATTCTTTTTTGGGGAGAACACTGTAATACCTATACAGCCAATTAACTGAAATGAAGTGGAGATGGACTTTTACTTATGCAGTGTGTGATTATTTCAGAATATGAATGATGTCTATCTGGAGGGAGACATCACAGTTCCTGGGGCTCCAACTGAGGAAGACGACCAAGAGTTTAACACTTTAGATGAACCTGTACGGGAAACTATTGTGAGTATCTAAAGTATTTCAGAAAGGAATTGTTGAGTAATCTACTTTTTGGCCACCCAGTATAGTAGTACACTGATGTCCATAGGATGTGAGGTCAAAATAAAAATGGTGTTTTGGTAACAAGTGGAAAAATAATATCATATTTACAAAATAATGAAATATTAAGGCATTAGCATGACAACATGTCACCACCTAATCAGTTATTGCAAATGTTTACAAAAGGGTAAAGATTTGTTACAAATTGCAACCACTGAACTCTAAAATGCCAGTCTAAATGCTGTATAAAAATATGTCGCTCCTTCTTGATGGCATTTTAATGTAACGGATTGAATTGAATTGCACAAAAGTAGTTGATTGGTCGAATTAAGTTTTGAATGTGTTTCAGATGCGGGATGCCAGAGCAGTTGGCAAGAAGTTCTTCCATGTTATGTACCCAAAGGAAAGCAAAGCACTTCTCAGAGAATGTAAGTACTGGAGTCCATACAAAAGAAACATCGATTTTTTTTAGTTTTTTAAAAACTTTTTGAACACTCTAAGCTCTCATAATTTTATGTATAATCCATATTTTATAATTTTATAAACTGATTCTCACAAATCTAACATGACAATCAATAGTGCATAAAATGTACTTTTTGGCAAATATGAATGATGGTGGATAAGTATAGGATATCCCATGATTTTGAGTGATATCATTTTTATCCACAAGTTGATTTCAATATCTTTACATTATTATGTTATATTAACGTGTTATTATGTTACTATTTAATCTGGGAGATAACTACATGCTGTAGATAAAGGGGTAGATATAGAAATGACTGATATGTATGCCAGTTATTATGTTCTTTATGCTTAAATACTAATTTCATGTTTTTCAGGGGATCTGTGGGGTCCTTTGATCCTGTGTGTGTTCTTGGCAATGTAAGTATATAAAACTGTTGTTGTATTTTTTAAAATATTTTATTCATTTTTTCATGCTACATATTCTTATATATACGACATAAATTGTAGAAGATTCTTTGCCAAATTTTACCAATACCTGTGGAAAGTGACATTAACTTATTAACGAGTCATTTTTCATCTTGATAAATAACTTCAAAACTTGCCCCGCTAACTCTTCATATTTATATCCGTTCTAGGATGCTACAAGGGTCGACAGAGACGGCCGATAGTCTGAGTACGGGTGGTCCACAATTTGCAGAGGTGTTTGTCATATACTGGGTTGGCTCTCTAATAGTCACACTAAATACGAAACTCTTAGGAGGCTCAATGTAAGAACAATAACTAAAATGTATTTGTTTATGTCAATATTGACCTAAATGAATTTAAAAAGCTGTTGTGTTTTTAAAAATGTTGTCATTTTGACATTTTACTAGTTATGTAGACATCAAATATGCAAACATAATTTGTGAAGAATTGTTCAAAATTGTCAAAATTAGAGCAGGTTTAGCAGTCAGTGGGTTTACTCTCTGAACTCAGAATATGTATACTTGCCTACACATGAGCTAAACTTTCATACATACCTTGTTATGTCACCACCAAAAGTGGTGACATATTGTTATGGTCTCCGTTTTTTTTGCGACGGCGGTTGGTGGTTGGCGTCCGGCGGTTGGCGTCCGGCGGTTGGCGTCTGTAACAATTTCTTACAACTTCCTATAACTTAACAAATACTGTTTAGACTGACTTCAATTTTTTTCTAAATCATCTACATGTTCTCAGAAGTTCAAATCTGACTTTAGATTTGACATTTGACCTTCAATGACCTTCTCAAGGTCAAAAAGGTCTTTTTTCAACTTGCTTCACATTGACTAAATTTTTTTTCAAAATCATCTACATGTTCTCAGAAATTCAAATCTGACTTTAGATTTGACATTTGACCTTCAAATCTGACTTTAGATTTGACATTTGACCTTCAATGACCTTCTCAAGGTCAAAAAAGGTCAAAAAGGTCTGTTTTCAACTTGCTTCAAATTGACTAAATTTTTTTTTCAAAATCATCTACGTGTTCTCAGAAATTCAAATCTGACTTAAGATTTGACTTAAGATTTGACATTTGACCTTCTCAAGGTCAAAAAAGGTCAAAAAGGTCTGTTTTCAACTTGCTTCAAATTGACTAAAAAAAATTTCAAAATCATCTACGTGTTCTCAGAAATTCAAATCTGACTTTAGATTTGACTTAAGATTTGACATTTGACCTTCAATGACCTTCTCAAAGTCAAAAAAGGTCAAAAAGGTCTTTTTTCAACTTGCTTCAAATTGACTAAATTTTTTTTTCAAAATCATCTACATGTTCTCAGAAATTCAAATCTGACTTTAGATTTGACATTTGACCTTCAATGACCTTCTCAAGGTCAAAAAAGGTCTGTTTTCAACTTGCTTCAAATTGACTAAATTTTTTTTTCAAAATCATCTACGTGTTCTCAGAAATTCAAATCTGACTTAAGATTTGACTTAAGATTTGACCTTCAATGACCTTCTCAAGGTCAAAAAGGTCTGTTTTCAACTTGCTTCAAATTGACTAAAAAAAATTTTCAAAATCATCTTCGTGTTCTCAGAAATTCAAATCTGACTTTAGATTTGACTTAAGATTTGACATTTGACCTTCAATGACCTTCTCAAAGTCAAAAAAGGTCAAAAAGGTCTTTTTTCAACTTGCTTCAAATTGACTAAAAAATTTTATCAAAATCATCGACATGTTCTCAGAAATTCATATCTGACTTTAGATTTGACATTTGACCTTCTCAAGGTCAAAAAAGGTCTGTTTTCAACTTGCTTCAAATTGACTAATATTTTTTTTCAAAATCATCTACATGTTCTCAGAAATTCAAATCTGACTTTAGATTTGACATTTGACCTTCAATGACCTTCTCAATGTCAAAAAAGGTCAAAAAGGTATTTTTTCATCTTGCTTCAAATTGACTAAATTTTTTTTCAAAATCATCTACATTCTACATGTTCTCAGAAATTCAAACAGACTTTAGATTTGACTTTAGATTTGACATTTGACCTTCTCAAGGTCAAAAAAGGTCAAAAAGGTCTTTTTTCAACTTGCTTCAAATTGACTATTTTTTTTTCAAAATCATCTACATGTTCTCAGAAATTCAAATCTGACTTTAGATTTGACATTTGACAATTCAAATCTGACTTTAGATTTGACATTTGACCTTTAATGACCTTCTCAAGGTCAAAAAAGGTCAAAAAGGTCTGTTTTCAACTTGCTTCAAATTGACTAAATTCTTTTTTCAAAATCATCTACATGTTCTCAGAAATTCAAATCTGACTTTAGATTTGACATTTTACCTTCAATGACCTTCTCAAGGTAAAAAAAGGTCTGTTTTCAACTTGCTTCAAATTGACTAATTTTTTTTTCAAAATCATCTACGTGTTCTCAGAAATTCAAATCTGACTTAAGATTTGACTTAAGATTTGACATTTGACCTTCAATGACCTTCTCAAGGTCAAAAAGGTCTGTTTTCAACTTGCTTCAAATTGACTAAAAAAATTTTTCAAAATCATCTTCGTGTTCTCAGAAATTCAAATCTGACTTTAGATTTGACTTAAGATTTGACATTTGACCTTCAATGACCTTCTCAAAGTCAAAAAAGGTCAAAAAGGTCTGTTTTCAACTTGCTTCAAATTGACCAAATTTTTTTTTCAAAATCATCTACATCTTTTCAGAAGTTCAAATTTGACTTTACAAGTTCTCAGAAATTCAAATCTGACTTATATTAAGTTTGAACTCATAATATTGTGAGCAACTAGGTGGTGACATTTTGTCATGTTAATGCCTTGTCTTAATCATTTATACTTGTTTACACCTCTGGCAACATTTTGTGAGCTAGTGCACAATGTCCCACTTTGAACCATCCCTTTTGCTTGTGACAACTTAATATTTTTTCTGCAAAGTCGATTCAAACCTAAGTCTGTTGATGGTGCAAAATGCAGATATTTTGGTATTCAGATTTTACCAAGTTTAACCTCTTGACTACCCAGAGTGACGAGATTTCTTGTCACCTTAGAAATGACCTTGAAACCCAGAGTGACGAGATAATCCATCACAAAATTTTTCACTAAAATTGCTTTAATTTGAACTATTCTCTTCCAATTTACACAAAATTGTTTTAAATTGTCTAGAAATAATCTCTGCCGTCTAATTTTACCAAAATGAGCACCATCTGTTGTAAATGTATGTAGTAAAATGTCAAAAGCTGGCAAAAATGAAAAATTCTCTGGTTTCAACCTATTTGAGAACCTGGGATTCAAGAGGTTAAACTTAAGAAAACTCATTGCACATCAATTTTCCCCATGCTTATGGAGCACATGAACTTACACATATTTTTTATTTTCAGCTCATTTTTCCAAAGTGTGTGTGTGTTAGGCTACTGTGTATTCCCACTTAGCGTATCTCTAGTCATCTGCCGTATTATCTTGATTGCAACACAAACTACGGCACTATTCATTGTCAGGTTCATTGTAGTCATGCTTGGATTTGGCTGGTCTACATTTGGTAAGTACAGTGTTAGTTAGATTAGCTTTATCAGACTCATAGGATCTCACAGTCCATTGATTCAGTAGTTTGATTGGAATGAAGTTTGATATAGACAACATCTGTTTGTGACCATCCATATCTGAACTGGCATTGATAGTTGATTTTGCTTATTTAAAAGAAAGGTTTGTCTACATTTATCAAAATACAATAAATTTGGCTACCATCTTAATTTGACGGATTGGTGGTTTGAAAGATTCGTCAATTTTCAGATCCATTTGGGAAGATCCCTAGAGAATTTGTAATTTGCAATTGTTTCACTTGTGAAAGTATTCCTATTTGGATGTCAGTACTTTACCAAGACTTACTGAAAGCTGAACACATGAACCTGAAATGTTTATTTCCAGATCAATGATAGAACTTGAGCTCTCAAGTCATGGCTTCGCCAAATTAAATAGCCGTCAATATTTGAAATTGAGCAAATCTGCCAAATTAAGTAGTGTCAAATAAAGACATAAAGTGTATCTGCAGTAAGAGACCATCGTGTTCTAGCCTTACCAAATCAGAATAGCAACTGTTTATTTTTGTATTTTCAGCATCGACAGCCTTTTTAGCAGACTCGCAACCACCACATAGAAAAGCCCTGGCGTTATATCCAATATTTCTCTTCTATTTCGTCATAAGCTGGTTGATCATCTCAAATACACATTCTAGTTAGCTATGGACAATACTATTAGGATAGGAGTGACGCAAGGCATGAGGCAGGAGAGGCAAATGTATAAATGAGGCAGATTTTGCCTCATCTGCATGAGGCAGAAGAGGCAAATTACCCACAAAAAATTTATAATTATAAAAAATTAATCGTTCATATTTTTAAAGTCAACTGGTTGCTTGTTGTGCTATACACTAAAGTATTTAGCGTATATTTGCCTCACCTACATGTATGAAGCATATTTGATTTTGCCTCATCTGCTTGACATTGCCTCACCTGTTAATAGATCCTTGATACATCCTGGAAGGATTTCATTCTCAAAAGTGCAGAGCTCAAGAAAACTAAATAATTCAGAAGTTTCATCTTTTGAAACAAATTCAGGATGCTTATATTAAGAGCATCGGGTAATTCTGTAAAACCAATGGAACCAGTGTAGGGCTCAATTGACTGTGAAAATGAACCTTATTTTCTGTAAATACTAGTATAAGGCTTGGAAAATTGCTTGACTTGTAAGCAGCATGGCAATTTTTTTCAATTGAAAAGTTGATGAATGCGCGATGTGAGCATTTTTCCAAATCGCTGTATTTACAGAAAAGAAGACTCACGCGAATGTCTATTAATCAACAGTGCCTGTAAGTTGTTTGCATTCTGACTTCAATTTTGAAAATGAAAAAAGGTCATGTGACACTGGTTCCAAAGTTGCTGATTGCATAGCACAGTCTCCATCTATATGTTGATTTTATTCAGAGTTCTGTTCTTATATTTAAAAATTCTTTCTCCAGGTCAACATTGTTGTGGTAACTGTGTTACGCATACAGCACCTACAAATAGTGCAATTAATGACTAAGTGGTTCAACGCAGGTTATAGTTTATGCTCCTGTGTATAATTTGGCTTTAAATGTGTGCATATAGGGTGGGATATTGTTATTCAACTTCATTGGTATTCAATCATAATTCAATTCATTAATTTATAGTCATTCAAAATTTTCATTTAGATCTCCATATGTTTCATTATCTTTAGTTCAGTTCTTGGTACATTTAAACAGTGAAGTGGAACACCTCTGTAAGTGGAACATTGAATTCATGTTGAATTTCTGTAAGTGGAACACCTCCTGCAAGTGGATCACTTTTTGTGGTCCCCTGAGGCATTTCTCGTATTTTCTAATTTTTGTGGTTTAGCCTATATCACCATGACATCAATTATGGATAGGATTTCAAAAATGTCTAACATTCCATTGGGGTTTACACTCTCCTCAATCAGTTTGGTAACTGAAAGTTTTTATTTGATAGTTAACTCGTTGGACAGAATGCCAGTACAAATGCACTCACCTTCGGTTTGTGCTTTCTACGACATTCTGTCCAACTCGTGCTGGATTTCACCATATTGAATGGCCTATCATTATTTATTTCGATTCAAACACAAAAATGAAAACGTTGTTCAGAGAATTGGGGTCCATAAAATAACCAAACTTGCTGTTATTTTTGCCATGTGTGACGTCACAATATATACAGAAGATACCCGGATGATGAATAGAGCACGGTTGTGCATCTATGGAGAATTAGGGAATGTTCTTTTTTGGCTATGCTGCATTCCGATTGGTCGAGAAATTCAATTAGAGCACAGTCATGTTTGAATATGCAATCCAGAAGGGGACTTTTAGTTGCCATATTATTGAGGGGGTGTACCAAATTATTGAGGGAGTGTACCAAATTATTGAGGGAGGTGTACCAAATTATTGAGGGGGGTGTACTATGATTTGTCAGATAAATGCTTTGGCAAATGCTCTATTTTTGTTCTCTGTACATGTATTCATATTTAATCTGGCGAGCGTTTTAATCTGGTGATTTTACAGCATTTGTCAAATTCAATAGATCTGAAATTCCATGGATTTCAATAATCAATACACACAGTAGTGACTTTGTTCATTTTACAAAATCATAATAGTGTTTGTGTACGTAGATGGGAATATTTTCACTTTTGTCATGGTTTTCTTTCAACAAAAAACAGTCAGGAACATCTCTGTTGCTGGAATATCTCTGTTTATGTGGAACATCTGTATAAGAGGAACACTTCATTTCACATGACTTCATCGTCACAAGACTTCATTGTCACATGACTTCATTGTCGTCACATGACTCCATTGTCACATGACCAAGTGAATTAAGATGATTTAATATTGAATAAACCGTGTAACAGTAACAACTCCCCAAGTGGAACACTTTTAAAAGTACCACATATGTTCCACATACACAGGACTTACCACATTAAAAAGTGACAATATTTCAAAATTAGGGATTAAAACATCGCCAAATTAAAGAGAATTACAGCCTTTAGTTTGAGGAAAATACGCATGAGCAGACATTAAAAACAATAAAAATGCAAGACTAACTGATTCTGTACAGATATATGTATACATGTATATAAAATGTATTTTATATTTAATGTAAATAGAAGGGGAAAATAATAAACAGTGTTTGTGTCATTTTCTTTTATTTCATCTCTCAGATTTACCCATATATTTATGGGGTTCAACTAAAAAAGTACATCCAACAATTGATATTTATCACATCATTGTTTTAGTTTGTCCGTGTGAGATTCAACTGAGTTGCAATGCAGCATGGTCTCTGCTTGTCTCCTTTGATATTCAATTGAATCACTATGCATCATGGTTTTGTTACCCAGTGCATCATGAACAGTCTCTTGTACTGTAACTGAAGGTATTACAAATGTGTATTCAGTCCAGCTCCATGGTAACAGCTTAATAGGTGTCACAACTGCTTGTGTTCAGGCCAGCTCCATGGTAACAGCTTAATAGGTGTCACAACTGCTTGTGTTCAGGCCAGCTCCATGGTAACAGCCTAATTGGTGTCACAACTGCTTGTGTTCAGGCCAGCTCCATGGTAACACACAGCCATATTTGAAGTACATATGTACTCCGACTTCTCCAAGGTTTGAATTGCACTTTCCAAATTCTTATCTCTGGGTTTCATCCTTTAAGCATTGAGGCTAAGATCTCATACTGGAAATAGAAATACATTTTTTGTAAATTGAATTTCAATAAAAACAGTTGTACTTATAGTACTGTATTCATCATTAATTTGGGGCAACTGAATTTGACACATTGGCAACTAATGAACTATTTAAGTGTATGCCACCTTCCCTGATTCATTTTGAACTATTTTATTTAACCCAACATTTGGATTAACTTAATAAACATTTGAAATCAAGGCTGTTGAAGCAATTGACCTACCTCCTTTTGTTTTTCATTTTCCTGCTGTATCAGGTCATTGAGCTCATCTTGGAATCTTGCCTGGAAATAATTAGAAACTTATTCTTGAAATCACACTTTAAACTGGAAAACCATTATTAGAGGTTGAAAAAAACTATCCTTGTTAAACCTGCACATCGCTCCAAAACGCAATCTTGGGTTGTTTCGGGGGTGAACTTTATCATTTTGAGCTTAATGAAAGAATATAGAATGATGAACAAATGGGGCAAATCTTGTGTATAAATACTCACGATAAATGTGTCATTTCAAAGATTGTTCATTGAATTGCTTCGATTGGTGACGATGATACGATTTTGGAAAGGTTTTTAAATTAAGAACGTGACGTCACTTCCGAATTACAGCATTCAAACTAAGTAGCGTTTAATTACTTGTATCTTGCATAATAACTCAGTGGCCTTGCGGTAGAATGCTCGCTCAGCACGCAGGAGGTCCAGGTTCAAATCCCGCACTCCCTTTTTTATTTTTTTAACTAAATGATTGTTCTTTGATATTTCGCAGAAGAAACAATTTTTATTTACATTAACTTTATATTAGAGCTTGAAAATGTAAAAACATTATATTGTATAACATATTGCGTTTTGGAGCGATGTGCAGGTTTAAGTTGAAGGACAACTGAAATAGCTTTTCTCAACTTGCACCTACAAAAATGCGGTTTTCTCCCTTGTAAGCCCACCGTAGAGTTCTTGTGATAGCCATTATAAAATAAATGTTAGATAACTGCTAACGGTCATAGATAACGAAATAAAACTAACCGATAAATCAAATTGGCCCCCATGTGATTAGTAACGTCATATACAAAATATTGCTTTGGTTTATTGGCTCCATAGTCCATAGTAATCACAACGTCACGGCAACCATAGGATTGTTGTGTAAACAGATAACAAAACATTTTGGCATTATGACGTCATGATCTAATGGACCAAAACGGGCCACGTGGGGACCAGTGAGAGATCACGTGGGGGCCAATAACGTCATAACCAATTTGAATATTGCTTATCAAGCAGCTATAACAATCGTTAGAGTGAAATAGTTTTCACACTACTGATGAGAAAACATGTCCAAATACATCTATCAAAAAATTATATTGATTCCTTTAGGTTAAAAATACCATTTCATATCTGCTTTAATGAGAACACGGATGGAATCCTATGCTAAGGGCTGATGTAAAAGTCAGTCTACTGGGGATTGAACCCATGACCTTTGAACGCTGGTCACTATCCTTTTCTCTCATTATTGTAGAACTTACCCTCAGAGCAGGATTGTCAATGATAGCAAGCTGACTCTCTTGTCCTTGTCTCCTTTCCTTAATTTCAACCAACTGATTGCTCAACTCTTCAAGTTTTGCCTGCAACTCAACTGAAATTAAACAAGAATTAAAATCAAAAATTAAAATCCAAGATTTAAATTTTTGAAGTAAGTTGTAAATTCTGTTATTATAATGCAGGGGTTTCACTAGAATTTCTCAATACACCTAATAAATAAATGAAAACAACAGGCAAAATTAGTGGAAATCATAAATTTAACAAGGAAAAGTTGAAAAGTCCCTAAAAACAAGAAGCGATTTTGTGAAAACCGGCAAAAATCGCATGTTGCCTGCTGCTTATAATCCTGCTCACAGGGAAAAAATGGCGGCATTTTGAAAAGTCACATATTTTAAATAAAAATATATATACTTGGCTTCATGCCATGTTAATATCTAGTTAAACTCTTTGTTATTCTATTTCAAATTTTTAAACATCTACACAATGAAAATCTTACTGTTGACATCGCCACCCTCCATGTTCGAGTAGTCTCCCATATCCATTGACATCTGTTGGGTCATGTTGACACTACTCTCTAGATCTAGAATATGAAACATTAAAATGACAAAACACTTGGAAAATGTAAATAACGTTGAACTCGTCTCGTCCAAATGTAATTTAGACTGGCAAAAAGTGTTCTGGACAACATGTGTTCACATTTCAAGGTTTCTTTGATAAGAGACTCGATAAGATTACAAAGTTTTGAATGGAATGTGAAATATCATGGCTAGCTACAGTATGTGTAAATTTGGGTGAAAGCATGTACCATAAGAATCCATTGTATCACTAGGGACGGCAGATAGGGCTCTAGGGGTGCCACCACGGGGGGTCATTGCCTCATCATCATCGTCCATGACATTAATATCTTTATCCATGTCATCGTTATCTTCATCAGAGCTACTGACATCACCAAAGATGTCATGTTCAGCTGGAAAACAAATGAGATATATTTTAATGAATTTGATTAGAATTTTAAGGACAAAATATTAAGGGAAATAGATAAACGGTGAAGGGGGGGGGGCACAAGAAGTTCAAATTTTATCATGTCAAGAACATAACACCAAAAAAAAGTGTAATGAGTGTTCCATACATCATCCCTTAAAAACTAGTCAAAGAAAACGCTAGAATAATGTGTCACTAGTTCTTGGAGGCGAAAATGAAAAAGAATTAGAAGATTACCGAGGGCAAGAAGGCTCATTTCGCTCGGTTTCGAGCCAGTGTCCATCATAATATTGCGTTTTGAAGTCTCCCCTTTCATGATCATCCCATCTTGTTCTTCTTCAACAGGTTTGTCGTCATCGGCAACTACTTCCCACTTGACGTCAATAGCCTCGTTATCAGTTCGGAACAATCGCTTCACTTCTTTTTCAACATCAGGTTGGTCAACATACTGAAAATGTTCATATGTTGAAAATTTTAAAAACTGAGATATTATGCCTAAACATATTTAGACAGTGACTAAAAATATTGAGCCTAAAATTACTGAGATAATGCTAAAACACATTGAGACAGTGCTTAAACATAGTGAGACAGCGGTTTAACATATTGAGACAGAGGTTTAACATATTGAGACAGAGGTTTAACACATTGAGACAGTGCTTAAACATAGTGAGACAGCGGTTTAACATATTGAGACAGAGGTTTAACATATTGAGACAGAGGTTTAACATACTGAGACAGAGGTTTAACATACTGAGACAGAGGTTTAACATATTGAGACAGAGGTTTAACATATTAAGAAAAAATGCCGATCATATCAAGACACTGTCCAAACTTTACCTTCTTTTTCAATGTCTTCCTGAACCTCCTACTTCTGACATTCTTTAAAGGTGGAGTAACTGAAAACCAAATATCATCTCGTATATGGATTTATCTGGTATAATTTACAATATTATTAAGAAATAAAGACTGAAAAGCAGGGGTAATATATTTGAATACACCCCCGCAGGGCTAGGCACAAATGTTTTCTGTACCTTCGAAACTTTTTGCACTGCCTAGCCCTAAGGGGTGTATTCGACGATATTTCACCTGCTCTGAGGTCTGTATTACGATTCGAACATGAAAACTCACCAAAATGTTTCGAATATTCATTTTGGTCCGCCATTACTACGATCTGCCGTTATGACGTCACACATTACACGTATTACAAGGGGTATTGTTCACGAATATACCTCGGGTGAAATGATGACTTTCTTTACAGTTTATAGAATGCATGAATACAGTTATGTTCGAATATCTGGATACCACATGATTGTTACTATGTTTTTGCATTGGTAAAACATGTTACTGTTAGTCAAATTAATTTGGTGACTAACTATACTAAACTGTCCGAATGATTAATATTCTTACTTCCATGTCCCCACTGGTATTTCTTCTCCTTTTCTTTTTTCTTCATTTCTGCAGGGTCTGGTTCTATGAACATCTGGTCGGAACATATTAACATCTGAAAGGGAAATATTAGTGATTTTATGAACATCTGGTCGGAACATATCAACATCTGAAAGGGAATTATAAGTGGTTCTATGAACATCTGGTCGGAACATATCAACATCTGAAAGGGAATTATTAGTGATTCTATGAACATCTGGTCGGAACATATCAACATCTGAAAGGGAATTATTAGTGATTCTATGAACATCTGGTCGGAACATATCAACATCTGAAAGGGAATTATTAGTGATTCTATGAACATCTGGTCGGAACATATCAACATCTGAAAGGGAATTATTAGTGGTTCTATGAACATCTGGTCGGAACATATCAACATCTGAAAGGGAATTATTAGTGATTCTATAAACATCTGGTCGGAACATATTAACATCTGAAAGGGAATTATTAGTGATTCTATGAACATCTGGTCGGAACATATCAACATCTGAAAGGGAATTATTAGTGATTCTATGAACATCTGGTCGGAACATATCAACATCTGAAAGGGAATTATTAGTGATTCTATGAACATCTGGTCGGAACATATTAACATCTGAAAGGGAATTATTAAGTATTAGTGTGGATTATGTATTACGGAGAATTCCAAAATATTAGGGAGTACTGAAATATTAAAGAAAATTCTGATAAATTAGAGAGGGTTTCGAAAACTTGTGGAAAATTCTAAAATATTGGTAAGAATTCTGAATCATTGTTGAATGATGATGACTATCAATGATGGGGTCAGAGATTAGGATGTTAAAACATATATATATATGATAACATAAGGAAGGTTTGTGACATGTGTTGGAACTTTCTGATATATTAACTTTATTTGAATAGATATTGGCCTTATCAACAGTATGCTTTTAAGGAAAAACAATACATGATATACCTGAGAGACATCGGCTGTTTTGTAGAATGTCTTACGATCAGTTGTTTTCAGTGACTCTAGTATAGATGGCAGATCCATAACCTAAAATACATATTTATCAGAGTAGAAGTGGCTGGAGTCCAACACTATATGTATTATGATGTATATATCGACATAAAAATTATCAGATCTCTTAGCAATGGCATTAAATAAACATGTCAAAAATATAACAAAAAGGAAGTAATTCTTTGTTACTTATAAGGCTAATAGTTGTAATTTTCATCCTTAAAGGAATTAATGGTAATGTAAAACAAGGCATTAACAAAGACAAAATGTCTCCACCTAGTTGAAGCAAGACAAAAAAGACTTTTTTGATTTTGAGGAGGTCATTAAAGGTCAAATCTATTTTGACTTTGAGAATGTCATTTAAGGATCAAATCTATAGTCAGATTTGAAATGTTGAAAAAGTATAGCTGATTTTGAAAAAAAAATTGTGAAATTGAAGCAAGTTGAAAAAAGACCTTTTTAACCTTTTTTGACATTGAAAAGGTTATTGAAGGTCAAATCTTAAATATAAAGTCAGATTTGAACTTCTGAACTACATGATTTTGAAAGCAATTGAAGTCAAGATATTTTTTAAGTTGAAAGAATTTGTTACAGACAGCGACCGCCAATCGCCAACCACCGTCGAAAAAAATGGAGACCATAACAATATGTCACCACTTTTTGGTGGTGACATAATGAAATGTAGAAAAATATTTTTTCATATTTATTCCTTCAAGGGTCACGCAAAATACTTTTGCCATTTTTTCTCTCCAGTATTTATTACATAACAGTTTATGAGTAAATTAACATAGTGTTATAATGCTGATTGCCCCTAAATTGCCCTTGGGCATTAAAGGCAAATTTAAAAGAAACATAAGGGAAAGAATACATGCCTTAACCATTCACCATAATAAGTAACATATTTATTCATTGCTTTATAATATATTTACCTTTGCATTAAGTACTTGCCCACCATATCGGACATTGCCATGCCGAAGGTCTGGTGTAAGCTCAATGGATAACTTGTCTTTTAAGTATGGGGAGCCACTTTGAATTTCTCTTCGTAGTGCTATTGCAGGGCCCTACAAGAAATACATTTGTATAAAAAATACATGTATATATTTCAACTCATTGAGTTCATTATAATTATGTCTGAATTTTGAGTTTTCTAGGTGCATTAACTCATTGCTGACCAACCCCGAGATATTTCGTCTATGACGTCATAATCGTATGTGACCAACCCTGAGATATCTTGGGGTGCTATCCAGTAATCGTCACATAAACTGTACCAGTTATCTTACCAAATATTCTAGTGGTCACTAGGGGAACCTGGTAGGGTGCAATTGAAATAGTTTGTCATTGGCTTCACAAATGGCATATAACTTAGTGCATAGGGTGTTGATACAGTCTATTTTATGCTTATGTGAAAACATGCAATTTTGCTATAATTTTCCATCAAAATTGCCAGTCACCAGCAGAAAACCTCCAAAAATACCTTTGGCCAGCAATGAGTTAAGATAAAAATGTGCGCCAATTACTCTACCTTTTTCCATACATGTTGTAGCATAATTTTCCTGTTTTCAAGACAGTGTATCAGATGACTATAGGGCCTGAGATATCAGAAATGATAAAGTTTAAATAATTTTCTAAAGAATGTCATTTATCATAATATTTTGAACTATGTAATTTTCAACGATATGTAATTAATTATCAGGGGCGGATCCGGGAACCAACAAGGGGGCCCAAATTTCAGGTCAGAGAAAAAAACGTCCGTTTGGGCCCCTAAAACGCAAAAGTGGGCCCAAATTTTGAAATTTTGAGGCCCATTTTCTTCAAAATTTGGCCTGAATTTAAAAAATAAGGCCTTAAGAGGCCCAGTAATGACCAAAAAGGCCGACTTTTTGAGGGCCTTAAGGCCTTTTTTGGCCCAAAATTCTTTTTGGGCCCAATTTTTTTTTCTGGGCCCACCCAAGGGGGGGGGGCCCGGGCCCCCAGGCCCCCCCCCCCCCTAATCCGCCAGTGATTATTCACATAAAGATGAAAAATATCACCAACTTCATTAATTATTCATACTCAAAATCAAGCAAATTATGCAATTGTTTTATCATGAAGATTTACCTACATTTACTGAAGAATGGCCAACTAAGGATGGGTGGGAACAACTATCAACATGATAACAGCCTCCAAAAACTCAAGGTTACCTCGGCCAATGCCAATGGCAAATTGGCAATCGTTTTTGACACTTGACAAAGAACTTGAAAAATGGTTACTTGAGCTAAAAGGGCAAAGGGCTAATTGCAACGTTAATGCAGAAAAGGAAAAACAGGATTCATTTTTGAATTTAGGGAAAATTTTACCGACCATTGATGATCGAGGCATGATCCATTGATTTGATTGAATGATTTGATTTTTTATCAAACTAGGCTTGACAGGTATAAGGAGGATTGGCTCCCATGGTTCTAACTTGATATATTCTGCCATGTCGTGATTACAAAATTCAGAATTCAAAATTAAGCAGCCGCCATTTTTTCACTTCATAATCTGAATAGACATTTGGTCTTATTTACAAACAGAAATTTCAAGACTCAAAAGAAGTGATCAAGATATGGTTAAAATCTTTTAGATTGCTATTTTCGAGTTTACAGCCAGATGACTGACATTACAACATTTTCATTCATGTCGCTCTAGGTTACGCTATTGCATAATGAGAATACAAAAAAGCACAAGAGACTAACTGCCATGGAAAAAGCGGCATGCGCACAACACAACAACAACAATAGACTATTGCTAAGATATCAGTCATTCTCCTTGCAGCTGTAGTCACTGAACAAATTTCTTGGAGATTAAACAATAGAGTTAGAGCCGTAGGAGCAAATCCTGCTTGCCTTGGCTAAGTAAACTTATAGATCTAGTCTAGTCCTAATTGTTTTGAAAGTTAAAAAAACAAACTTTTTGGAATAAAAAATTGATATGTTTACCGGTGGCAATCTCAAAATGAACTGCTGCTCCAAGTCATATGAGGTATCTTCCTTTTTCTTTGATGAACTAGCTTTATTTTGTGCAACTTTCAGCGCCTTCAAACCCTTGATATTTATTTTACTCATGGTTTTGTGCGAGAGAAAAGTAAAGAAAAGTAAAAATGTTTTCAACCGGAAAGACACACAGACATCCGGATTTATAATTGATGACGTCATCGCACCTGTTTTATTACTCCGCAAATTTTTCAAAATTAATTACACAAAAATAGGATGATGGTTATGCAAATATTTACAAATGAACCGTTTATTTATCAATCCAATGTGATAACTGTATAGATAAATTATTATTTACCTGACAACGGGTCCGTGACTCATTCCAGACAGCGGCAGTGAGTCATCTTTCGATATGTGATGCGGCTATAATGGCTGAGAATGGTAAGAAAGTTTGCTCGATTTTTAATCGATTGTTAGGGATTTAGGCAAAACTAAGCGTTCATTTGTGCAGCAGAAATGTACAGATAAATGTGCTACTATCATTTACGTATCGGATAAAACCAGTGATTAAGAGGAGGTTTCAAATTCTCGAGATAGGTGTGTCGGATGGAAAAAATTACATTTTTTTTATTTTTTCCAAGAATCCAGGCTCGTGTGTTGGATAGACCCTGTAAAGTGGACTTGAATGTCAACTCAGTTGTGAATCTATTGGTCTCTGCCTTTCTCCTATTGTAACCTTATTCTTGCTTCTACCACTGGATCTAAAAAATAATGCCATTTGTATTTCCTACTTTTATTACCCTGACGACAGCATACGATGCTGCTTGTGTTATTTCTGTGTCTTATTTGCATATTTTTTATTGCATAATGAAATGATTAATTTATTAATGTTTGATATTGAAGTCGTGGAAACAATGAAATGCCAATTAAAACTTTCAGTTCTGTTTCGTATTTGTCATGCATTTGCTGAAGAAATTGAAGTCACGCCACCTTTTTTTGCGTGACAAAATATGTCACACAAATATGCATTTTACCTAATAATTATCAAGCAAAAATATTGCTGTAGAAAAACTTGAACACATCTGAAAAAATGAACACCGATACACAGAGCTGTCAAGTGTCCCGCGAATGGCGGGATTATCCCGCGAATTTGACCAAAATTTGGCTTATTCGCGTGTCCCGCGAATTCCCGCAAATGACGGCTTTGACCTCCGCGAATTTTCAAAATTGTAACAATCCCCGAGACTAAATAATTGTGATTATATTGTGATATAAGAAGCTAAGCTTTTTGCACTTTTGAGGAGTCAAGTTTACCTAATTTGAAAAGTGCTGCCGAACTCCCAGTGCATCAGATCATCGAAGACTGCTTTTGGAAGGAGCATATAGTTAAGTACACTTATAAAACTATGATTTTGATCCAAATAACACCATAGTTGGCTTCTAGCATGCCGTTTGGTATCAAAATAAAGAGGAAGAGTGCAAATTTCATTTTAATTACGGAAAAAGGGATGTATGTCACGATTAGTTCCAACGTTGGCCTTTTTACTACGCGTGTCACGGCCTTCATCTCAGAACTGAACAAATGTTAGCAAACGCGAGTTCCAATAAATGGACACTGATATCTCGAAAAGAAACCTGACTCCCCATAATTTGATGTAGAATAATCAAACCCCTATACGAATAGGTACATTTTGATATATAACACTATGGGGGTAAATGTTTCATAGTTGGTCACGAACGCCATAAGTGCAAAGTATTCACAAGAATTTTTGAATTTCGTGTCGGATTACGGTACTCACACCTAAAGCGTGTTTTTTGATAGTTTAATAATAGTTCTATGCGTATTGTGTGGAATTGTGTTGACGTTTACTTAAGTTAAGTGCATTATATTTGATAAATCAGTATCTGAAAGTTTGATTCAAGAGTACTTTTACATAAAAAATCCTTGAATGTCCTGCGACATCCCGCAAAAGGTGGATGTCCAGCAAAATCCCGCGAATTTAGGGCACTTTGTCTAGAAAAATTATCCCTCTCTGAAGTCTTTGGTGCTTACCCTGTTAATTGTCCCGCAAGTAGCGTGTTTGTCCCTCGAATGGTCCCGCGAAATCCCGCGAATTTGATCAAAATTTGACCTTTTAGCGCAATCACGCAAATCCCTTAAATGTCCCGCGAAATTCCGCGAATTTAGGTGGATGTCCCGCAAAATCCCGCGAATTTTTGGAACTGGGTCTAAAAAATCTGTCCCGCTAGAAAATCTTTGGGGGTTGACAGTACTGGATACATCAAAAAAAGAATGCCAAAAACGAACGCATTTCGTTCGGAAATTTCACGGGAATTCCATATATGTCACGCTTTTGGTCGAAATTTATGCATATGTAACGCATTTGCTTCAAAACTTTTTATACCACATCAAGCAGCAATTGACTGGTGGATAGACTAGTTGTTATGTGACTGAACCATATCAAGCAGCTGGAGGATAGACTTATGATAGTTGTTATGTGACTGAACCACATCAAGCAGCTGGAGGATAGACTTATGATAGTTGTTATGTGACTGAACCACATCAAGCAGCTGGAGGATAGACTTATGATAGTTGTTATGTGACTGAACCACATCAAGCAGCTGGAGGATAGACTTATGATAGTTGTTATGTGACTGAACCACATCAAGCAGCTGGAGGATAGACTTATGATAGTTGTTATGTGACTGAACCACATCAAGCAGCTGGAGGATAGACTTATGATAGTTGTTATGTGATTGAACCAAGCCCAACTGCCTTTCAAGGCCACCTGTAATAACCAAAACGAAAAATGCTCCTTGTAACACACTCCCAAATTGATTGACCAGCAAATTCAAAACAATATTCCAAGAAGATGATTAAGACTGCATGTCTGTACGTCTACATTACCAGGCCCGTAGCCAGGGGGAACCCCCCCCCCTGGCCCAAAATCTTTCAAAATCATGCAGTTTCTCACCATTTTGAGCACTTCTCTTGTGATTTTAGCCATATTTGGGCCAAAATTGTCAAATGTGAACCCCCCTGGAAATTTTTGAAAACTGCCCCCCCCCCCCTTGGCAAATCCTGACTACGGGCCTGATTACAGATGAAAATTCCTTCTCTCTTTAGGTTCTCTCAAATCAACTAGAATTTTAACTCAGTTACATATCTATCTATTCTATTGGTCTAACCTTGACAGACCACTGCTTTGCAGCTTAAATGAATTGTGTTTGCCAACTTTCTCAAAACAAAACAAGCGTTCAAAGTGCTCCAAGCATAAAAATGTGAGGGATGATTTAATTAAAGGGGTAGAATTTATTCAAAGGACAAATGTATGTCTAGACTAAAAACTAATTCTTGTCTCAATACAGCTGTTATTTTTCTGAACTAATTGTCAAAACTTTTAGTTTTATGTGGCACCATGCCATGAACTTCAAAAAACATTGGGTTGAGCCGAATCTCCTATTTTGTTTGTCTCCTTTTGGAGAAATTAGATTTTCTCACCTTGTGAGCATTGAATAGGGGAGAGCATGGATGATTCACAATCGAAGATGGCCTAGCAAAATTGAAATTCTCCTTGAGGGTTAGAGAAAGGGTTAGGGTTGAAGTATTTTCGGCCATCTTCTGTTGTGGACCGAAAATCGTCACAGCATTAAATAGTGCCATTTTTATTATTGATTATTACACTTTGTGTTTTTAGAGCCATTAATCCCCATCGATAGCACATTTAGTCACAAGGTAATTTTGGTTTCTTTGGTGATGGAGTAATGTTTATCCCACTGAACAAAGCAGGGATATAGAAAAGCCATCTATTCGTTTTTCATCTCCTATTCTTAATATCTACCACACTAAATTTTCACGAAAATAAATAGGTGATAGGATTTGGTAAGATTCTTGTCAAGTAGGATTTTCAAGATGGCTGCTGAATTTAAAATAATTGCTTTTTCAGATGAAATATAATTTATGATAACTCAAGTACCAGTTATCAGATTTGTTCTCACCTCATAGACTTATTGCCTTAAATTTATATTAGCACATGTACTCAGATTTTTCATATGTCATTGGTGTAGGTCTTGCCAAAAGTAGAAACCCAAGATATCTATCATAACATGTTCAAAATAATTCAGTGATTTGATAAAATATGTAAATGTTCAGTGGGATATTTTCCAGGGAGTTGATTATTTTATTTTCAATAAGATTTAGTTTCATTTTTGGTAACTTTGACATATTGGGACTGGGTAGCTTCAACACCTTGTGAATTTGGTTCAAAATTTCCAATCTCGAAATAAGCCAATAATGCATTGATTTTAGAAATTGCACAGGACTTTTGTTCTTGCCAAAATCAAGCATAACAGAATTTCTAATTTCTAGCTAATTTCTGTCAAAGTTACTGTCACTGACTATTAGTATTGACTTTACCCTTTTTATACGACCTTCCGGTGGAAGTTGACTTTAACTCATTTTTCTTTATACTCCCAGAAATATGTTGTTTTTGGTGAGCATTGAGCTACATATATTTACATTTATTATAAAAAATATAATTTTAATATAGAATCTGTTTAGTTAATACTACGTAAGATTAACCACTTCTATACTAGACCTGTACAATGTACAAACTGCTCTTGCTTTGAAATAATCTCATAGATTTTTGGATTATAATCGCACCCTTATTTTCTTTATCTCAACTTATAATAGGATCAAGTTTGAAACTCTAACATGCAATGAAAATCATTAAATTATTTAGTTCAAATTTTGCATGTTTTGGTTAAAAATACACAATTCCTGACCTAAAACATGTCAGTGTTTATTGTTGATCATGACATTAATTAAAAAGATTAACATTTTAATATTTATTGAAACACTTTAAAAAATGATGTCACAGACTAGGATTTTTCAAAATTTGCGATATTTGAAATGGATTTTTGATTTTTGCTTGTAAACCTTGATACACCCAACCAAAGACATTGTGGATGTGGCAGTCTAACTAATATTGTATCCCCCTTTTATTGCAAAAGATGGCATTTTTTGAAAAGGTCTATCTCAATTTATCATACAGCTGCATACAATTTTGATTACAAAGTGACGCCAGAGATAAAATTGACTCAGTTGAAATAAATTATAAATTATTTTATCTCGCAGTTTTGATAATTTGATATTATCGAATGCCAAAAGCAGGAACAAAACTTGTCATATTGCTGTTCATATTGTAAAAAATATTAGTTTCATTGAAATAGATTCACAAAATTGTATCGGAGAGGATTTTGTAAATGGGTAAAATTAAACTGACCAACTGGCAGATACATGTATTTGATATCTTAATTTCAAGTGAAATTTATCTAATTAACATTTCACACTGAGAAAAATCTCATATGTTTTCTGCTTTTTTTATGACATCATTGTTTACTTTGTAACAACTTGTGCCTCTGAATCATTGATCTTCCAAGTTGGAACTTGGATTATTTACACCAAGGCCATTCCAAGTAATATATGTTTGACTTCCCCGCCACCAAAGATTTAGGCAAATTTTCAGTAAACAATGAACCGTTTTATTCAGAATAATCTTAAACATGTTAAACCCTTAAAGAATACAGTGAAAAAATCGGACTCAAATTAAGCCCCCTTCAACAGGACGTTAAACATATGTAATTTACTATAAATGGCCTTATGTATGTAACATGGTAATTCACTGCATATGATTCTTCAATAACAGAATTTCTCTGCCATTGAAGATCAAGGTCTAATTTAGAATTATCAATTTTTACCATTGGACTTTGATAAGGCATGTATGAACTTAAAGATATAAGTAAAAATCTTCTGGCGTTAGGTCTATATAAGAGATAACCAAGTATATAACCCACATTATGGTTCTTTGATTTAAACTAATTATTTTGGTATTTGGTGAATAGTTGAGGGGCAAAGGTAAAGAGGTTTTGGTCGTAAATTATATTTTATCGTGAACATTGGAAAGTAGTTGACAGATATGCTAACGGATGTAGGTAGACTTTTCGTTCACATATTACAATGCTTTGTGGATTTTTCTAGATTCTGTAGTTTAACTAAATATGCATATAAAGTAAATGTGATTTTAAGTTCATAACTCAATTTTTGTAGATAAAGTTTAATTTATTTATTATGTTGTATGCTCAAGTTAATTTTTTTATATTGATTTATAGATCATACTGTAAAACAAAAATAAACATTCTGAGTGAAATATGGCAGGATTTACATGTTAATTTTCCTTGGGATTTAAAAGGAAGAGTAGAATTTATTTAGAAATGAAGTCCAAATACAAGAACTGCAGAAAAATAGATAAGCATTTTATTCTATGGATGGCAGATTTTGCAGTCTGGTGTAATGGGCGCAGCCTATAGGATGTATGAAGTATTTTGTGGTATTTTTGATCACATGGTGCTACATCGTCCAATCAGAATATTGGGATTTTAGGAATTGTGGGACAGTCATGTTTAAGGAAGCAGAACATTTACCTTAATCTTTAACATTTTTTTTGTCAGGAGCTGAATGGAGTCAATGGATGCATATAAGTGCAGAGGCGACAACATATTTATTGTGAACTTCATTGTCAAGAACTATTGTAAAGACAGTTTCTTTTTATTGTAGAGACATACATGTAATGGTGATTTCTTCTATTCTAAATGTCTACTTCTTTATGCTGGGATATATTGTAAATCTGTTTGGTATTGTAATTTTATATGAGAAGAACTATTGTTAAGACAACTCCTATTTATTGTAGAGACGTACTTCTTGTTGATTCTAAGTATAATTCAATTCATATTTATTGTAGAGATGTTATGTGATATATTGTATACCTCATTGTTGAGATATATTGTAAAGACAACTTATTTTTATTGTAGAGATGTACTGGAGTGTGCTTCGTGATGATTCTAAGTATATGCCAACTCATATTTATTGTAGATATGTAGTGTGATATATTGTGTACTTCATTGTTGAGATATATTGTAAAGACAACTTAAATTTATTGTAGAGACGTACTGGAGTGTGCTTCTTGTTGATTCTAAGTGCCTTTGCCGTTTGTTGGGTAATCTTCAAATCAACGATGCTTAACGAGTCAACAACTACTGAAATAATTGGCGGAGTGTCTTACATGTCTCAAGCTAGTATCGCTAACTCTTCATTGGTTCAGGTGAGATGTCAGTGTCTGACTCCTCTGCATATTTTCAGCATGTCTAGTTGTTTAACCTGTATCCTCCTTAACCTGTATCTTCCTTAACCTGTATCCTCCTTAAAGAGTGGGGCTACAACCTTTTATACATATCTAGATACACCGAGTTAACTGAGTATTTCATGATTCCATTATGGCACTCGTATAGACCATACTTTGGACTTCCTTAAAGAAAGATTTTTTTTCATGTAGCTAAATCTTGTTTATGACCATAGTACCAATTTAGAATAGACTGAAGCATATTGAAACTGGCTTCGGTCAACACACTTGGAAGATAGCGAAGAGATTGGATCTAATATAAGTTCAGTAGGTCTCCTTGATCAATATAAATTGCATTCTGGTATGCCGGAGCCCCTCTTATCCGCCATTTGCGAGAGAGTCACTTTGGAAGGATAAAGACAAAGAGGGCGTGGTTTATCGCGATGTATAAATTGAAACAATTTTGAAAATTGATGATTCAATGCTTGATTTTTTTTACCATTTTAAACCAGGAGGATTAGGGTTAATCATCAGATTAATTTTCCATGAAAAACAATTAACAAAGGTTTTAATTATTAAAGGTAATTTTAAGAGATTATAGAATTGAATTTGTAATTGAAGTAACATTCTGAGATGTATGTTGTTGCTATGGTGTTGCTACATGTAATTGTGATATACTAGGAAATATTATGGGAGCATGTTAGGGACAACGTAGGATATAGTTGGTTGTTGTCTATTTATGCTATAAGTTGTCCATTTGTGCTACAAGTTGTCCATTTATGCTACAAGTTGTCCATTTATGCTGTCAAGTTGTCCATTTATGCTACAAGTTGTCCTTTATGCTACAATTTGTCCAGTAATGTTACAAATTGTCCAGTTATGCTACAAGTTGTCCATTTATGCTTCAAGTTGTCTATTCATGCTACAAGTTGTCCATTTATGCTACAAGCTGTCCATTTATGCTACAAATTGTCAAGTTATGTTACAAATTGTCCATTTATGCTACAAGTTGTCTATTTATGCTACAAATTGTCCAGTTATGCTACAAGTTGTCCATTTATGCTTCAAGTTGTCTATTCATGCTACAAGTTGTCCATTTATGCTACAAGCTGTCCATTTATGCTACAAATTGTCAAGTTATGCTACACAATGTCTAGTTATGCTACAAGTTGTCCATTTATGCTACAAGTTGTCCAGTTATGCTACAAGTTGTCCATTTATGCTACAAGCTGTCCATTTATGCTACAAGTTGTCCAGTAATGCTACAAGTTGTCCATTTATGCTACAAGCTGTCCATTTATGCTACAAGTTGTCCATTTATGCTACAAATTGTCCATTTATGCTACACGTTTTCCATTTATGCTACAAATTGTCCATTTATGCTACACGTTTTTTATTTATGCTACAAGTTGTCCATTTATGCTACAAATTGTCCATTTATGCTATAAGTTGTCCATTTACACTACAAGCTGTCCATTTATGCTACAAGTTATCCATTTATGCTACAAGTTTTCCATTTATGCTACAAGATATCCATTTATGCTGCTGTTATAATAATTTCAACCAGTTCTACCCGACAACTGCAAACCATATAAAATGTTTCATATAAAATGTTTCAATTTTCTCTAGGGAAATCATCTATGTTAAAGATAGCAGTTATATACAGTAGAGGGTTACAGGTTTTCCATTTTTAGGCCAAATAATATAATATCTGTTTCTCAAACTGAACCAGATATTTATTTTTACTGGCCATAGCTAGTGGTTGTGGGTTTGCATGTCTGATTGACTAACCAGTTCTTATTCATAATTTTTCCGTTGCAAAGTTTATGTTAATTTTTATTGTACCTAAAAAGCTGCAGTATCCTAATCGGCTTGGTGATAGACAGTGGGTTTTTATGTTTTTATTCAACATCTATATCTGCTGCATGTTTTGTTGGACAAAAATAACTGTTCATAAAACTGTTCATCATTGGTTAAACTCGGAGCCTGAGGATCTGCTACATATAGGTTATTAACTATAATTGTAACATAATTGTCCAATACGATTTTTTCCAGGGACAAAACGATTTTTTCATGTAAAACGCTCCAATACAATTTTTTTCCCGGGGACAATACGATTTTTTCATGTAAACGATTCAATACGATTTTTATTTCTTCATATTTCCCTGGGAAAACAGTAGTATTTTTGAATAACCTCACTTATAACGTCGGTTCCACATCAATTCAGTGCACATGTCAGCAACATCAAAATGCAGTATGACTTGATAATGAGACTATGTTCCCTGGGGAAATCAGCGGGAAAATTCTGATTTTAATCTTATGTACGTACGTTTAATAACATCACACCACCTATTGAATCAATAGATGAAATTAATTGATTGGTATAGAAATCTTAATAAATTCATCTTCTGATCAAAGTTATTGTATAATTCTGTATAATAATATCTTACAATGATAGAATATCATTATGTGCTAAGCTTGTTGCTAGGTTGCATTTGCCTGTTGCTATATAGCATTTGGCCACAGTATTCCCTGTTGCCATGCAGTATTGCCTGTTGCCATGCAGCATTGCCTGTTGCCATGCAGTATTGCCAGTTGCCATGCAGTATTACCTGTTATGTACCTGTAATATTGCCTATGCAGTATTATCTGCCATGCAGTTTTTTCATATACGCCTATTGTATGTAACAGTGCCGTTTTTTGCCTTTGCCATGTTTTAATATTTTGCCAGTAACCATTCAAAATTGCATGTTGCCATGGCAGCAGCATTCTTTGTCACTATGTGTTTTGCCTTTTGCCGCATAACATTATAGTTTGTCTGGGGAAAAATGGCACAAAAATATTTTCATTGCCTCAATATTCTGTCACATTTCATCAACTGTTTCAGTATATTTTAAGAATGTCTAGAAATAAACAAATTATTATCCCACCGAACGAAGTTCGAGGGGGATATAGAAAAGCTGTCCGTCCGTCTGTTCGTCCGTCTGTTCGTCCGTCCGTTCGTCCGTCCGTTCGTCCGTCCGTCCGTCCGTTCGTGTGTCCAGACAATAACTCAAATACCAGTTGACGGATTTCATTCAAATTTTATAGGCTTATGCCTTATGGGTGTAGGACCTCTGCTCGAGAAGGAATTTTCAATATGGCCGCTTAATTCAAAATGGCGGCCATTTTTCGGAAAAAATATAATCTTTGATAACTCAAATATTAGTGGATGGATTTGGTCCAAATTTTATATGCTGTTGCCTTGGTACAAAGGAGCCTTGCTCAAGAAGACATTTTCAAGATGGCCAGCAAATTTCAAAATGGCGGCCATTTTTCGAAAAAAAACGTTATCTTTGATAACTCAAAGACCATTGAATGGATTTGGTTCAAATTTTAGATGCTGATGCCTAGGGACATAGGGAGCTCTGCTCGAGAAAGGATTTTCAAGATGGCAGCTAACTTGCAAAATGGCGGCCATTTTTTGTAAAAAAAACATTATCTTTGAAAGCTCAAATACCATTGAATGGATTTGGTTTAAATTTTAGATGCTGATGCCTAGGGACATAGGAGCTCTGCTCAAGAAGGGATTTTCAAGGTGGTAGCTAAATTTCAAAATGGCCGCCATTTTTCATAAAATAACATAATCTTTGATAACTCAAATACCAGTTGACGGATTTGGTTCAAATTCTGTATGCTGATGCCTTAAGAGACAAAGAAGTTCTGCTCAAAAATAAATTTTCGAGATGGCCACTGAGATCTGCTTCAGAAGAAATTTCAAATGCGATAGCTGAATTTCAAAATGGCTGCCATTTTTCATTAAAAAAGTAATCTTTGATAACCTAGATACCATTGGACGGACATTCTCTGCTAAAGAAGAAATCTAAAGATGACAGCTGAATTTCAAAATGGCAACCATGTTTCATAAAGACATGATCTTTGATAATTCAAATACCAGTGGATGAATTTGGGTCAATTTTTTTTATAAAAACATTATTTGTTCGGTGGGATATGCTACTCCGTGGAGTTGCTGTTTTTCTAGTTTTGTAACATAGTATGGTGAATGATAGCTAAATGAAATTTTAAGATCTTTTGTTTGAGAATATATTTTTCACAAATATTTTTATTTTTCTTTATTTTTATTGACAAATGACTGCAGTCAATAACAATTATAAAGTTTTTACAATTTTTAAAATTTGAAAAGTGTATACATTTTAATCTTTGTTCCCAGCGAAAATACTCAATGAATAATAAGATTAACTATTGCCCTCAGTTTAAATCAAGTATCTGACTCATTTACTGTAAATCATGTGAAACATACTTGCAAATTTATTTATATTTTTAGCTCACATGGTGAGCATTTGCAATCACTCACTTGTTTTATAGTTTTGAAAGGAAAGTAAAATGAAACTACATTTTTTGCAAAAACCTGACAATTGTAGAATTATACACCACTGACCACAATGTTTTGGCTTATTATCTGTTTTTGACAGATTTTGATATGAACACAGTTCTAAAGACTTGCAGTTAACGAGTTGTGATAATTTCATTCTTAATTGTGTCCTTGTAATTTTGATTAATCATTCACAAAAAGTTAGATAAGTGATATCACAGCCCTTATTAATATAAGTCAGACTTTGCACATTAATATTAAAACTGCAAAATAAAACATCAGAAAATGAACCAACAAAACATAACTGAATTTTTTTTCTTTTCTTTACAGAGTACAACAACAATAACAGCGTCTACATTAAATAGTTCTATATCTCCAAACGAAACAAACATTATGGAAGAAAATCCTCATGCAAAGCGGGACTTCTATATTGGCCTCACACTGGCCATGAGCTCAAGTATTTTCATTGGAACAAGTTTTATACTAAAGAAGAAAGGATTACTCAAATTGGCTGCTCAATCTTCCCAAAGGGCAGGTAAGTCATCTATTGACGGTCATTTCCAATATCTTTATATTGTCTCTGATTGGTCAGTTGCATTTCAATACAGTAAAACCTGTCTAATTCTAACACCTCTGTGACTGGCCAAAAGTGTTCAGATTAGCAGGTGTTCACATTACAAGGTTTTATAAACATATGTCAATGGAAAATAAAAAATATTGGACCAAGAAAAGATGTTCTGATTAGAGAGGTGTTCAACTTTACGGTTTCTGACTCAGTAGTTTGTTTTCATTTTCTTACAGGTAATCAATCACCAGTTGTGGGAGAACCAAATTAATTTTGTTAGGAGAGAGGGGATAACTTATTTCATTTGTGATTGATATTGATTATTCATCAGAAGTCAGGGGTTGCATTAGCAGCAGGCAACAGGTGGTCTTCACCAGTTGTTTTCACAAAATCTCCTGTTGTTTTTAGGGACTTTTCAACTTATTAAATTCTTAACTTGTTAAATTCATGATTTCCATTAATTTTGTTGGTTTGTTTCATTTATTTTGCCTGTTCACTGAGAAGTGGTGACATATTGACAGTCTCCTTTTTATGGTCAACCTATTTAAGGATGGTTTTCAACGGTTGAGTTGGTGATCATCGCCTGTAACAAATGGCAGGTGATGACATTTTGCACGTTGGTGCCTTGTTAGATATACAACAATCAAGATGGGATGAGGGATGGGAAGGGAGGGGCATACGTAACAAAATTAACTTTATTTTATTGAACTGTTGAAAATTGATGTATCCAATCAGAAAAAATCACAATAGTAAATATTGGATCAAACTGATTGCATGTTCTTAACTATTATTGACATAGTACAAGCATGCTGAGTAGTGTATAGATATTGATCGACCACATATCTGCTTGTCTAGTCTTCCCAAGATCGATATTTTGAAATGATTAGTTGTAATACCAGTATACCCTGTCGCATTTTGCTAATCAGAGGAACTATCCTATAATGGCTAGATTCGTGATGTCATTGGTTGTACTTTTCAAGATTTGGTGATGTCATTGGTAGACTTTCTCAAAATTGGTGATGTCATTGGTTGTACTTCATTAATCTACTTTTGCAATATTAATCCATTGCTATTATTGTTTTTTAGGAGATGGAGGTTTTGGTTACCTGAAAGAGCCACTATGGTGGGGAGGAATGCTCTTAAGTAAGTACACATGTACTAAAATCTTATTTTAATTAAGTACATATGCACTGCAATATTTTGTTATCCCACTGAATGAAGTTCCAGGGGGATATAGAAAAGCCATCCATCCGTTCATCCGTCAGTAAATGTACTAATAACGCTTCGAGAAGAAATTTTCAAGTTTGTCACTAATTATCAAAATACGTTCTGTTTGGTGGGATTTGCCACACCTTGGAGTCGCTGTTTTTCTAGTTAATAACAGTACATGTGCACCTAAATCTCATATTTGACATTTGATCTTTCATTTGTTGACCTATACATAAGGCCTTCTAGATTTCCACAAATGCAATCATCACCCTTGTGGTTCACGATATGGGAACTCCGTTCACGGATCGAGAAATATGTTCAGGAAAGAGGAATTGGTGGTTCGTGATTAAAGCATCAATATTCACAATGTTGTTGGAGCATAATTTGTCAGGTTGGAACTGATAATTGCGTTTGTGGAAGTCTAGGAGGCCTAAGCATGTGGCATTAACCTTATGAGGTCCATATTAACAAACAAATACATTACCTTCCATTTTCAAACATGTATTTTTTTTCAATTCTAAAACATCATAAGTTCTATTTCAAAAGCCTGTTCAGCACATCAACACAAAAGTCGTATAATCAGAAAGGTATAATGTCCTTCAGAAAGGTCTATTTTCACCTATGCTATTATTGGGATAAAATGTAATATGATAGTAACTTGAAAGTTAGTTTAAGACAATTTAATATCCAGAGATTTGACTTTAATTTAGTAAGTGAATTATTTTTCTCTTTTCAGTGGCGTTTGGTGAAGTGACAAATTTTGTAGCTTACGCATTTGCCCCAGCTACACTGGTGACACCTTTAGGTGCACTTAGTGTACTAGTCAGGTATGTGAATGATTAAAAATATTCAAATATGTTAATTCTCAGTTTAATTCAAGTTATGAATTCACTGAAATGTTACCCCTTTTGGGTATCTAATGCTAACCATGTAAAATCAACAATGTACAACTATGATGAAAATAAATAATAAATAATTATGAAAATAAAAATTGTTTAATATGTATTTAATTCAGCATACAGGGTGTCAAAAACCTCAATGAAGTCCTGTATGTTCTAACTCCCCTTGAATTTGACTATTTCAGTGCAATGTTGGCATCGAAGATGTTGGGTGAAAATCTGAACCTTATCGGCAAAGTTGGCTGTCTAGTTTGCCTACTGGGATCTACTGTGGTAGTCATTCACTCACCTAAAGAAACAGAAATAAAAAGCATGGCTATCCTAGCCGAAAAACTTAAAGATCCAGGTGAGTGTGACTTTTGAGATATTTTGGATGATTCTGCTACTGTCCAAATAATTATAAGAATGCCTTCAATGGACTTTTCCAGTAAACCCCACCACCTTTTGGTGTATCAAAAGAGTTGATATATTCCCTAGATTGATGATGTCAAAGGTTGTACCTTTTTTTATACATCAGAAAACTATGATAAGTTGGAGAAATTGATGATGTCATAGGTTGTAGTTTTTTTGATATATCAGAGAAACTACGATAAGTTGGAGAGATTTATGATGTCATAGGTTGTAGGTAAGCAATCTGGTGATGGTCAATCCACCAAACTAAATAGCAGCCAAAATTTGCCAAATCCGTCAAATTAAACAGCACAAAATCAAAACAATTTATTTTACTGCTACTTTTGGTATGCCAATAGGTAGCAGTGTGAATCGGAAAAGTTAATTGAAATAAAAAATCTTCCATTTAAAGCTCCTGTATGTTAAAAAGAATGGTATGTTCTTTTATAACTAGGGGTGAGACGACAACCCGATGAGTCGAGGACTCGCGGGTTTGGGGCTTCGAGTCGAGTCGAATCGAGTCGAAGTTGATGAATCGAATCATTTTCGAGTTGAGAAAAAAATTCGAAAAAATAAAAAAATTCAGAAAAATACTGTCAATATGCATGTTTTTACTCGATATTGCGTTGAATATATAAGTTTCAATGACTTGGATATGCTTGTATTAAATTATTATATTGTATGTACACATAAATGAAAGAATATATGTAATAAAATCAGAATAAACTTACGACGAATTGTGTTTGTTTATATTTCCGGCTTTCCACCATTGACGCATTAAAAATACGAACGGTCAAAAGCGATGTTGTTCGCACTTTATCTGACTCGAAACGGATTCGAAACTCGAATCGTCATTTTCTGACTCGAATCGGATTCGACTCGAATCGGATTTTTTCGACTCGTCTCACCCCTATTTATAACTTAAGCAACTTGAGTCAATTGTTAAGTTAATACAGTGGCTATAAGTTAATATTTGATGTTTGTGTAACATTTGCTTTTCCAATCCCTTAAATACACTTGTATTGATTGATAATAGAAATCTGTTTATTTTTGTTTCCAGGGTTTATCACATATGCCTTTATTATCGCAGTATGTGCATGTGTACTTATATTCTATTATGGACCTCGTCACGGCCAGACAAACCCCCTGATCTATATCACAATCAGTGGATCTATTGGTTCTCTCACTGTTATGGGCTGTAAGGGACTAGGCGTGGCCCTTAAACAAACATTCGCTGGAGACAATCAGATGACGAACTGGCTGACGTGGCTTATTCTTATCACGTTAGTGTTTGATATTTCCATCCAAATGAATTATCTTAACAAAGCCCTGGATATTTTCAACACTGCAGTAGTGACGCCGATTTTATATGTCGTTTTTACGACTTTTGTGATTATCGCTTCAGCCATCTTGTTTAAAGAATGGGCTGATTTGGGAGCACTGGATATCGTTGGGAATATATGTGGATTTATAACGACCATATCTGGCATTTTTCTACTACAGTTCTTCAAGGATTTAGACATTACTTTAAAAAGTACCGTCAAGGTTCGGAAGGATGCCCCAGCCTCGGTGAATACCATGGCCAATGGGGAAGTGAGGTATACCCCCACACATGATGACTCTAGGTCCATTCTTCTGGAACATGCTGAATGCCAAATGTCAGATGAAGAGATAAATGTTGATCATAGATATAATTCCTTGATGAAAACATGAAGCCTCATTCAGAGAATATGATTAGTTGTGTCTTATCCAGTTTTAAAACTTCAAGGATCTTGAACTAATTTGGGTTCAGATCGCAGATTTTCATTAAAATGATTGATATCCTTTGTATCAAATCTCTGCTTTTTGCCCCAACCTACATTGAAATGGTGCAAATTTGCATCGAAATGTTGCAAATTTGCATCAAAATGGTGCAAATTTGCATCAAAATGGTGCAAATGTGCATCGAAATGGTGTGAATATGCATTAAAAGGGGAGGATATGTATGGAAGGATAACACCTCACTTGCCAAAGTAGTTATTTACTACAGGTCCCGTATCGAACTTTTGCTGAGATGGATTCAGTTTCTCAAAAATTCCAAAGATGGTTCGGTTTGACAATTTTGACCCAAAATCACTTGAAATTAGTTCTCAAAATGATGAATTAAAAGCTGCTTAGTTTTGAGATAATATTTGGCTCGACACCCCCCCCCCCCCTAGCTGTGGACTGTGCATCATAGAATAACTGCCTGTTATCTCGTACAGCTGTTTTGAGATCACCTCAATCCATCACTCATAGCCTTGGATAAGAGTGGGGATATCCCAGAATTCATAGATGAACTTATCTCCATTTAAATCTCAACCTCCAGTGCTTCATCTGTACATATTGATAGGCTCACTAATGAATTCTGGGTATTACTCCTCTCCTTATATTGCACTCATGGTTGTTAAGGGAACCATGGACTTATTAGATATTGGGGTTATAGCATTTCATTTGAATGATGTTGTGTTGTAATATTTTGGATGGTGTCCATTCATCAATAGTCATGGAAAAGGGAAATTCTATTGATTTGATTTGATTTGAAAACTGGTCTTCCTATGATATATTGCCCTTTACTCGTTTAATAAAACTTTTACGCGTAGATTTTTCTTTTCCTTGAATTTTAAAAAAACACTCTTCGCTAACGAAACATAATTTCTCCTTAAAGAAACTTTGCTTTGTTATTTCACTACTGTTGATAATTGGACATCTTCCCTGCCTACCTTGTTAAATTCTCATCTGTATTTATAACATTTTGATAATTTAAAGAAATCTTTATTGTACAGGGGTTTCACTACAATTTTTCACAACAGCCTAAATAAATGAGAACAGCAGACAAAATTAATGAATATCATGAATTTAACTTGGAAAAGATTTTGTGGAAACAACCAGTGAAAATTGCCTGTTGCCTGCTGCTAATGAAACCGCTGTTGTATGGCTGAATATTTCTAGTTGGGCTGCTCATTGCTCAGTATGTACTTAGTAAATTTAACTTTGGTAGAAATAGATTAATAGGTTTTTATTGAAATACAATTCACTGCAAAACTGGCATTGCTGGATAAATGTAGTATTAGATTTTGAATCTATCTCTTCTTGAAGTACTTGTACTTGAAAAAATATGTATGTACACAGATGCTTTCTTCCTTATATACAGGGTGGGCCATAAAATTGGGATTTATCCAAATACTGTATATGCTTGTAAGTTATTCACACAAATCATGTCAAATTCACTAGTCCATAATTATCATTATTATGTTATTATTGTTATCATCAATTTATCATTATTAAAAACAAGTTATTATTGAAATCATTATGTTAATATTAAAAACACATTATTGCCAGAGACATCATAAACTGGAATGGAAGACATATTTTCAATCTGGTAATTGTAAATTTGTAGTTAAATTGTACATTTTATTTAGTCATATTCAGAACATTGTACATTTGCTTTCACCTTAAAATACTATTTTAGAACTGGGTTGTGTAGAATAGGTTATATTATGAAAGGAACACCTTTAATTCTAAAAGTGTTCAGCTTGGGAATTGTTCTTCTTTCAAAGCCTCATAAAACATTTAATTAGATATTCTAATTGTCTCAGGATTCTGAAAGTATTCCACTAGTAGAAGTATTCTAGTAACTATTCAGAAGTATTCTACTTAATTCACCTTTCCCCAAAGTCCAAAGTGTACTCATTTGACCGCTGCGCTGATTGGTCGATGAAAATCAATGACGTCAAAGCAGGGCACATTTCGCGCTAAAAATTCAATTTCTATTAGATCGCCGAATGAGTGATATAGATCTTATTATAAAATGATAACAAAACTAAGTGAAATATATTTTTCTGACTATTTTGTCTTAAGCTGTGTCTTAATTACACCATCCGGTAAATCAAACCATAGAAATAATTATGATACGATTGCTCATCTTTTAACAAAGTGAATCCAACTACGCAAACCAAAGATTGACAATCATTTAAACGACAAGACTGTATGGATTAGGAATACAAAATTACATTGATCATGATTATTCAATTAAATAGTTCATTATGTTTCTCATGAAAAATATATGAAGAACAGTTTTAAATGTCAGAGTCCACTCGCATTTTTCTCATCGGGTTGCCCAATTAATAATTTGCGATTGGTCATAATCAATTTATATATTGAAGTAACTTATATTCATCATACTGCATTTTAATTGCAATTCAAAGCTTAATTACAGGCCCGTACGTAGTCAAGGGGTAGGGGGTGAGCGGAAGGAGCGGCCGCTCTCACTCCCCCTGGCCAGGAATTCTTTCAAAATCATGCAGTTTTCATCATTCTTAGCACTTTTCGTATGATTTTTTTGCCAAAACTGTCAAAAAGCTCCCCCTTGGTAAAACTGCTCCCCCAGGTAAATCCTGACTACGGGGTTGAATTGCCGGAGGTTCTCTCATGTAGGTCTACGTCCAAAAAATATCCTGAAAGTTCTCTAAAAAGATCGATATTTATAAGAACGCCCATGGGCTTTTCAAGATATAAATCTCTTCAAATAGACGATCGTGAATAAAACAAGCAACTCTGGTACATTGTCTCAAAGGATACATGAACGGCTTTAACATTGTTCAATGAAATTAGTCATCACTCATGTAACCATTGTCAAATTCTTTGGCAGACATAAAAGTAACATTGTCATGTGGTATAATAGGTGGCTGAACCTTAAGTGAAAATAACGCACCGCTGGCCCAGATTTGAGAGTCAAATACTTTTTCTTCAAGGTTAAGCGGTATCCCCTTCTTCACCCCATGAGAAAATATTAGACGAACTTAAGATTACCATGGGATGTTGACATTTTGACAGTCAAAAACTAAACATGGGGTTTTGTACAGTCAGCGTAATTTGAAAATGTACAGGAAACATTTGACTCTTCACATTAATATTTCTCTATTCATTTGAATCCCAAGAACAATATAAAGAAGGGGGGATATGGACGTGAGTATAATTAATTAAGTTCCATGACATTTATCATAAATATTATTACTACTCAACATAATTTGACAATCAAATTAACCCGTTTCCGTCACGAATCACATTGACTTCTAATGTATTAAGATTTTCCCGCGAAAATCTGCCCTACTCTGACGTCAGAGATTTCAGATTTGCTAATTATAGTATTCATGAGCTGACTTTGGGGAAAGGTGATAAAGGCTCATAATAATTGAGTGAGTTATTCATGGGTCTCTGACAATGTCCCCTTGGGAGATGTTCTACTTACAGAGGTGTTCAACTAACATAGGTGTTCTACTTTCAGAGTTCTACTAGACAACAGTGTTTACTCTGTTATGAGTTTTCTCAGTGAAGTCTTTTTTAATTCAACTTGGCAACTGAAATGTATATCTTATACATATATTTATTTCAAGTCTAAAAATATTTTTATTTCAGTATCCATATTTCCAAATATATGAATAGATGAGAATTCAACTTGCAGAAGTTCTCATTGAAAAGGGGTGTTCGCTTTTTCAGAAATATTGTGAAGAGAAATTGTACCAGATTTACAAAAAGTATGTAACAATAACAACAAGGCCCATCATAAGAACCGTTGCTATGTGATGTCATAATAATTGCTGCTATGAGTATCTATGCATTTTCACCAATATTTCTGGATGTTGTAAAATGGAAATAACTAAGTTCTTTCACATCAATTTTCCTCTTGGTTTTGAAAAAAATTGTAGAAGAAAATAGATGGCACACATCTAATACCGTCATATAAGAAAAAATGTATTATACATGTATCCATCATCATTCCTGATTGCTTTGATAATTGCACAGGTTCTCAAATAAGATCCTGTGTGTACAACATACTATACTTGATTCACTATATTGTAGAATGTAAATGTGACTTAAAGTAAATTTATTCAAATTGTAGCTCATATGAATTGCCTCAAGCATCATGGTTCTCCTCAAAGAGACCATAGGTGATGTAAAATTCCAATGGAAATTCATGATGACATATTGTTTTAGTCCCAAACTTTTTGTGGACGGTGATCGGCAGTTTGCGTTCGGTAGTCGGAGTCTGTAACATTGCAGCTGGTTGCATTTTGCATGTTAATGCCTTGTTTTTTTCATATATTGTCAAGTTTCCAATGTCTTACACCCAATTCATGGTTGTGTTTACAATTATTTAATACTTAGAACACAATTCCCCTCAATTGTAATGTGGTTGTATATTTGTGAATTTCTGATTTGTCATCCGATATTATTGTCACTGGTAAATTGGTTTGCTTTGGGATATGGAAAATTATATTTTTATGGTATCCATAAATCACTATGTTTATTCATAGCAAAATGATTTTTACTAAGCGTGATCGCTGACACATTGGGTCTGACTAGATTAACAAAACTGCGGTTACGGATGTCAAATTATCAACAGCCATGACATAGAAAAAGTAACTATAAAATCTTGAATTGTCTTTCGCTTGACGATTAACAAAATCAGCTCTATTCCTTATGGTAAACTATCAATTTCCCGCTCCCTCTAGCGTAACTGAAACGAGTGGTCGAGAGCATTTCTTCTTTTGCTTCTTTTCTTCTTCTTTTTGTTTGAAAAATATGAGACATAATGGTGATTTATGTATTTGCGTCACTCATACTATGAATGCCTATAATATCAACAAATTAAGGGATGTTCCTTAAATATTTTTTTTGTATGTTAGAATTTCACTCTAGTTTTCAATTATGTAATCAGATTTTGATAATACTGAAAATTAAAAAAGTTATTAAAGAAAAAGTGACCATTGAACAATTCTGTCCGGGCTACTATATAAAGAATTATAAATAATTTGTTATTCAATTAAATTATACAACATGTATGAATTTCCTAAATGTGAATAAAATAAATATTTATCATCTTTACTACAGACACATTTTAATTAATTAATGTGGGAAATTATTTTCACAGAGTTAAAGGGACTTCTTTATTTTAGAAATGATTGAAACTTGACAGGAATTGTACTTTGTTTTTTAAAGGGCCATATGATGTTTAGATTGTTGGCTAGATATTATCATGACAACTACTAAAGTATTTATATTCTAAAATGTGTGAATTTTCTGTATGTAAAACAATGCAACATTCTTTGATACATGTGTACAAGGGTGTGAAAATATAGTAACAATGTAAAAAAATATTATTTCCTTTCGTGTTTCTTACCATTGTTAAAGAATTTAAGCCCTGGACTCAGTGCGATGTGTAATGAAGGTGTTGCTTTCCTAATGCACGGGATGCTCAGAGCATCGAGTGTTGATTTTTGGGAAACGAGGCCTGAAAGAAATGGTTATTCCACAATGTATTGAGTCTAAGGCTTAAATTCGTTTCACACATCGCAAAACATTTTCTTCCGTGTCACTTAAATAAACATCTTATGGAAAATGGGGTCATTTACATAAATGACCTCACTAAGGACCATAGAATTTGTTAAAGATTTTAAGGTGAAATACAATACCAAAATTAACTTCAACGATTATGTTTACATCAAAGCAGTAGTTGTAAATGATTGGAAACACTTATTGAAGCGAGACTTCAACTCAATCTTTGAACCAAGCTGACAGGAGGAACTTGTGTACTTAACACTTGCTGGAAACCAGTGTCATTCAATGGTTTAAGTGATTCAAAAAATAATAAATGAAAACAAACATTTGAAACCGCTACATAAAAACAAACATGATCGTGAATTAAAAATATCACACTACTTTAAAATGGCTTATAGCTGCACGAAACAAAATAAAATTCGACAACTCCAATTTAAGATTCTTCATGGTATTTGCACAAGAAATGCTTATTTAACGCAGATATGAGTTAAACAATTGAGCTTAAGCTTGCAATGTTGTTCACAACCTAAACGTGAACGGAAAATATTTAAACGATGCATTTGTACGGGCGATTGGTCATACGTATAGGTTGGCGTTTCGATTTTATATGCAAGCTTAAACTCTCTATTGTTCACTAAGAGACACTTTAAAGCTGGGAGTGTAAGCGGATTAAGAACTCTCTGAAAGCTATTTACTCGAATTTAAACAAACTATTTGATGTAAATCATGATTTCACAACTCATGAATTTAATGAGATAAACCATTCTTGCGAATGTCTGAATGAATGGAGGTGGTGTGAAAGGGGCAATTCGAGGGCAATTTCTGCTCATTTCGAGGGCAATTTAAAGTGCCGTGGTACTTAACAGGAAATGACAAAACATGCTTCCTTTTTTAGACGTTTTTTGAACAAATATATCAGGATTCTGTTTTGACCTGTAGTTAGTTTAACTACATGTAGTTCCACATATCATTAACATGACCAGGATCAAATGAGTATCTATGGCACACATGTAATACAGTCATATAAGAAAAAATGTATTATACATGTATCCATCATCATTCCTGATTGCCTTGTAATATAGGCTAATATACATTTTTCTTTAAATTGCAAAAGTAAACGTGGACGGTCCTTCGTAGAGCCTCAGATAAGTTCCTGTATCTGTATGTAAAATGGCTGCTTTTTGCATGTTAATAATTAACTTAATGCCTTGTTTTTATCATATATTGTCAAGTTTCCAAAGTATTACACCCAATTCATGGCTGTGATCAAAATTATTTAAAACTTGGAACACAATTCCCCTCAATTGTGTTAGTGTAGTTGTGCATTTCTGATTTGTCATCTGATATTATTGCCACTGGTAAATTGCTTTGCTTTGGGATATTGAAAATTATATTTTTATGGTATCCAAAAATCGCTATGTTTATTCATAACAAAATGATTTTTACTAAGCGTGATCGCTGACACATTGGGTCTGACTAGATTGACAAAACTGCGGTTACGGATGTCAAATTATCAACAGCCATGACATAGAAAAAATAACTATAAAATCTTGAATTGTCTTTCGCTTGACGATTAACAAAATCAGCTCTATTCCTTATGGTGAACTATCAATTTCCCGCTCCCTCTAGCGTAACTGAAACGAGTGGTCGAGAGCATTTCTTCTTTTGAAAAATATAAGACATAATGGTGATTTATGTATTTGCGTCACTCATACTATGAATGCCTATAATATCAACAAATTAAGGGATGTTCCTTGAATATTTTTTTTTGTATGTCAGAATTTCACTCTAGTTTTCAATTATGTAATCAGATTTTGATAATACTGAAAATTAAAAGAGTTATTAAAGAAAAAGTGACCATTGAACAATTCTGTCCGGGCTACTATATAAAGAATTATAAAGAATTTGTTATTCAATTAAATTATACAACATGTATGAATTTCCTTAAATGTGAATAAAATAAATATTTATCATCTTTAAAGACACATTTTAAGTAATTAATGTGGGAAATTATTATCACAGAGTTAAAGGGACTTCTTTATTTTAGAAATGATTGAAACTTAACAGGAATTGTACTTTGTTTTTTAAAGGGCCATATGATGTTTAGATTGTCGGCTAGATATTATCATGACAACGTACTAAAGTATTTTTATTCTAAAACATTAAAATGTGTGAATTTTCTGTATGTAAAACAATGCAACATTCTTTGATACGTGTGTACAAGGGTGTGAAAATATAGTAACAATGTAAAAATAATATTTCGTTTTGTTTCTTGTTTTTTGGTTTAAGAATTTAAGTCCTGGACTCAATGCGATGTGGAATGACCATTATTTGAAGGTGTTGCTTTCCAAAATGTGCACTGGAGTGTTGATTTCAGGAAACCACTTGAAATGAATGGTTACTGTATTCCATAATGCATCGAGTCTGACTTCTTTTCACATACTCAGTATTGCAAAATATATCCTTCCATGTCACTTAAGTAAACATCTTATGAAAAATGGGTTATTTACATAAATGACCTCATTGACGACCATATATTTTTTTTACAATTTTAAGATTTTAAGGTGAAATACAATACCAAAATTAACTCCAACGATTATTTTTCCATCATAGCAGTAGTTGTAAATGATTGGAAACACTTATTGAAGCGAGACTTCAACTCAATTTTTGAACCAAGCTGACCGGAGGAACTTGTGTACTTAACTTGGTGGAAACCGGTGTCATTCAATGGTTTAACAGTAAAGTGAATTCAAAATGTAATAAATAGGGAGTTGAAACTTGCAATGTTTTTCACAACCTAAACGTAAAAGGAAAATATTTAAACGATGCATTTGTGTGGGCGATTGGTCATACGTATAGGTTGGCGTTTCGATTTTATATGCAAGCTTAAACCCCATTTTGTTCACTAAGAGACACTTTAAAGCGGATTCAGAACTTTCTGAAAGCTATTTAATATAATTTAAAGAAAATATTTGATGTAAATCATGATTTCAACGCTCATGATATGGTTTTTGGAAGGTCTGTGAACAATAAAAATATGTTGCTCAATAGACTTAAGCAAGCAATCAAATACTACATTTATGTAAAAGATTTAAAAAAACACTCTTGCGAATGTCTAAATGAATGGGGGTGGTGGTGTGAAAGGGGCAATTCGAGGGCAATTTCTTGCCATTTCGAGGCAATTTAAGGTGCCGAGGTACTTAACAGGAAATGACAAAACAGGAAGTGACAAAACATGCTTCATTTTTAGACATTTTTTAAACAAAGATATATACACTTCTGTTTTGACCTGTAGTCAGTTTAACTACATGTAGTTCCACATATCATTAACATGACCACATGTCCAGAATGACCCTAAACATGATGAAATAACTTTTTCAGCCCTCTGAAAATGTGACTGAATAATAGTTACAATTCGTAAAAGTTGGTATGTACAGTTTATACGTTGCCGCTTGAGAAAAAAAAACTTTGGCGACACAAATGTTCGCTTATATGTGGAATGACCGATTCGTGGTCACGCATCCCTTACATCAGATGAGTTTCGTAGCCATACGCAAGCTCTATGAATAACGCCTCGTAAAATGCATGCTTTCGTATATTTATATCACTCGAACGTGTAGATTCACATGCTGTAGTTTTCCACAGAGTAAGATGCATCTCTGGCTCGATATAATTTCTTACTGATAGGTCTATTACTTTAATCTGACCATTCACAGTTTAGTAGTGGCCGATGCTGATGATTTCTTCGGACTTGGCGCCTGGTGACAGTGTGCTGAAATACATTTACACTTGCACTTCTTCCATAAGTCTTTCCAGGAAAGTGTGCTAAATGTGTAGAGTATCGGGTTGATAGCGCTGTTGATTGGCAACACAAATATACTGACGTAGGCAATGATTTCTCCTGAAATAAATAATAAAATCAAAAGATACTTGGCACAGAATGTGGCACAATCTAATATTTCTATTTTAAAGGTGCCTATCTCAGTCAAAATAAATCAAAAACGTATTTCTTGGAGCGAAAAAGTTACATAAAAGCACATGACCTTGTACTAAAATATATGAGCCAGGCCACAGGAAAAGGGGTCTTATCACAGATTTTTTCAATGTTTTGATTTTTTGTTTTTCTTAAAAAGCACAAAGAGACCTTTCAAATGAGCCATGGCTTGTGTCTTAAAATTTTTTCCTTGCAGGTATAGACCAAAAAGTCGGATTTGAATTTAGCACATTTTCCTCTTAATTTTGGGCACATTTTTGTATCTGTAGCACAATTAAAATTTTTGTGATAGGACCGGGCTCATAAAACAAATGGTAATACCAACCTGGTAGCGCTATCTTGTAAAAGGTTAGGAATCCCATGATTATTACTGGCATCCAGCAGCAAAAGTCGGTAGACACGATCCACATCAATTTCACCGCCATCTTCCTGTCTCGCTCATTCCCCGAGCCTTGTTTGGTTTTTGATCTCGAGATCCTAGTCGCAAAGAATATGGCCAAATAGCCAACAGCTATTAGAAGAAAGGCGACAAGGTTGACAACATTGAAAAGAGCAAAGGAATACTCCCAGCCGTTAAAATGAGAATATGCCTGTTGTGATTTCTGTCTTTCTAGCTCAATGCTCCCGCCCTGTCTTGTGTCTTCATGTTGGTTTAACAAGGCTTCTTTTGCAGAATCGTAATTCAACATAAGCGGTAAGCAGAAGCCAGATTGCGTATAGAATTCATGAGGGCTAAAGTAGTCGAGAGGGAGAAGTGGTAAAGCTGTTAAAGTTATACAAAGAGTCCAGCCAACGATGAGAACACCATTTACAACACGCTTGGAAAAGTGCAACCAGATTTTAAAGGGAAACACTATTTTGAGGAACCTGTCAAGCGTCATGACAACGAGGATGTAAACGGACATCTCACTTGACAACGATGCAATAAATCCAGAAGCCATGCATAAAGCACTTTTGGTCCAAACAACCTGATGTTGAAAGTAAGTGTCTCTGTATTTCATATCCATCGAAGCAATAATGATAATGTAAACTCCCATTATCATATCCGAAAATGAGAGATGTACTACCAATATATGGTTTACATCATGCTTCGGTTTGCCTTTACGGATACGAAGTATGATGACAACACTGTTCGCAAGGAGTATACATATACCAAATGTCCACAGAGACACTCTGAGTATGTCGTTCTTAACAAGATCCCCACACGAAGACAGGTGGTCTGGCTGTGGGGAACACGTTTTCACCGTTGTTGGAACTATGCAACACAATTCCATATGATCACTTTTAACTTCAGTCAACTTCTCAAGACCTTGGAATAATGTCAGTGGGTATTTGGGCAATGTATCCAGGTAAATCGAGATTTTTTCAATATTTTTAAGTGGGGTAAATGTTTCTTGCTCAATCGTGCGGATGTTACAGGAAATTAACAGCTCCTTTAATGAATCAAGACCTACAAACATAGCCGGTTTTAAACGTTGTACACGTAGTATGTCTACATTTAAAAGATGTAGAATTTTCAGTTTATTCATACCATCAAATTGTCTGTCTGATATTGGTCCATGTAAGCTTAGCACCTCCAGATTACTATAATTTGTTGGGTTTCTAAACATTGAATCCAATATATTGTGTTCATTTGTGCGTAATGATCGCAACAGGTGTGGATTAGGCAGAAAAACATCTTCTATACGTTTTATATCACACCCCATAATGTGTAATGTATGTAAAGAAGTTAAATCTTGAAATAATCTATCATTTACCGGATAATCCAGCCTAAACATTAAAGATAATTTTAACATCTTTAGTTCATGTAATCCCCCAAAGGATCTGCTCATTAGCTTTAGTGGCTTTCTATTATCTTTTATTGAAAGGCTTTCTAGTTTATTCAGCCCCTTGAACCCAAACGAAGAAATTTCGCGTATCACATTCATATCAAGAGATAAATGTTGGATATGTGACATTCCGTGAAACATTCCACTTTCGATGTAACTTATTCTGTTATTACTTGCATATATCCCACTTGCATTTGGTGAAACATCTATTGGCATTGTTAACAATCCTACTCTATGGCAAACTACGCTTCCTTCATCGTATAATGAGTCGATGCACTCGCACGGCCGTCGTGCTGGGCATGGTAGGTTGTTATCCCGATCCAGATTGGTTTTCTTCATTTTCACACACATGAACGTATCGGTGACATGTTCTCTACATTCTGCTTGGCTCCATGTAATGTTGACCTCAGATGTGTTTACGACATTTATAGTTGTCACCAATAAGTCGCAGGTTCTAGCACCTGTCATCAAACCTGGAAATGAACTTCATGATAGGGTCAAAGAAATTCAAGATTAAAAGAGATCATTGCAATATTTATATTTCATTTCCCGAAAAATAACATTCTATCAAGTATCGAATATAAGGAAAATTCGAATATATGTCAAAATGACTGAATTTAATTGTTAGCAGTATCGATTTGCTTGATTGCCCTCTTACACATGATGCAAGACAAACAATTCTTCAAAGTATCTCCCAGCAAGCTGACCCTGACCTCAAACTTTTCTCCAGTAAACGTAAATATGACAAGGTTGATATGATTTTATTTGGCGATAAAGAATCGCCAACGCTTAACTCCATACTTATAAATCTATCATCAGATTTTATTAACAAAATATTGTGAAGCCAGTGTTATAGCTACTTTACTTTGCCAAATTTCATAACATCATCACTCATCTTCATCCTATCTGAACTCTACATTCATATATTCATATATTCACTGTATAAAATGTATTTTCACAAGTCAATAATGTGCAAACGTAGGCTTGTTTCTCCATATTCATGTATTCATGTATTATCGTATGTTTTATGATTCAAATATGGAAATAAAATAACCTTAAAAAGGCAGTATCGATTAAACACTTATTATCATAATGAAATAACAAAAACCTTTTTTCTTAGCTTCAAAGCGTCATTAAGGCTTCTTTAAAACTCTATGATTATGAACGAAGTCAATTTAATTCTATAGTATTACTTAATATATAAAATTACCTGCGTATACAGATTGCTTCGGTTCATCTTCAATACACGGGAGTGGTTCTGTACTCTTCCAATTGAGCAGCGTTTCTTTTATGCAAGCCTCTTCCTCCCTCCCATATTGCATTCCATAATCGTCAGTGGTAGTTATTGCAGCAAGGAAGGCATCTTTAGACCAGCAGCTTTCTCTAGCTTCAATCCATGTCAAATTGTGGGTTTGATTGATAAACAACCCATAGCACCTCCCGTCACATTCGTACCAGCCATTTGGACATGCTTCTAAAAAAATCAAAAATAAACAATCCGTAACATCTTCCTATCTGTTCACTCGAACCAACCATTTAGTTATGAACCTGAATTAAAGAAAGAAAACAATCCGATATTAGAAAATGTTACAAATGACAATTAACTGTACACTTGTAAACTTGCAATTGACAATAGAATATGTCAATGAAAATGACACAAAGCTCTTTGTTTATAAAATTCTAAACTTTAATGTAAATTATATAATATCTCAGAACAGTTGTCAAATGGAAAGGACCAAAAACTGTAAAGAAACCTAGCAAGAAAAGCAAGCTCTAAGTACATAATTATAGACCATGTATATCCAAAACCATGATCTAACGTGAAAATAAATTATGTCCAACACACCTCTCCACCTCCAATCAAGAGCCAATATCACAATCCAAGGGACATTTTATTCATACTGGCGTCATTAAAATACATGTTGAATAAAAAATTAAAAATTGGTATCCAATACTCATAACATCAAAAAATGTTGCAAATCCTAGTACTCATAAAAGAGCATCATATTCAATCTAAAATGATGTGGGATACACAAATCCAGGTTCGCAGTCCATAGGCAATTCAAAGGTCAACATCCATTCGCAAAGCCGTCGCTATAATTCATAAAACACAATAATCATCAGGAGACAACTAAGGCTGGTTTCGATCCCTAATGGATTCGATCCCTAATGGTTTCAATCCCTAATGGTTTCGATCCCTAATGGTTTCAATCCCTAATCTCTGATGTGTTAAGATGATCCCTACAATCCTGCATATCACTTGCAATATATCTTGCTCGATCGAAAGCGTTGTCTTAAAATAAAGCCAGAACTGTAGAACCCTTAAAGAAAAATGATTGATAAATAGTTGACAAATGAATTCATCCATGCATGAAAGTCGTTCAGAGAAAAATGCATTTCAAAATGTTAGTTCCCATAGAAACCAATGATTCAGTAATGCTTAAAACATAATATATTTTTCCTTTTAACCTGGTTAGACAATCAACATTGGTTTATTTTTGAAGTTTAGCATATTTAGAAAATATCGACATAGATAAATCATTTTTTTTCAGAAAGTTCTTGCCACCTGAGTGACATCAAGATGCGGTCACTTAGGTTTCAACTATTTTTGATATGCTAAAACAATAAAGTAGCACATTAGATATGACAATCCTTTTATTATTGAAATCGTGTGTATTTTATCCAGTGTCTGGAATTGTGTTCAAAAGATAATGTGTTTTGTACTGAAGAGTTGAATAGTTAACCCTAGAGTTAAAAGTGACCATACGTCTAAAGATTCTTGATTTACATAATAATTGCTATTGCCTGATGATAACTTATTGTGTTTTGATGTATTATTTGATAATTTATCATTTATCATTGCCTAATTACTTAAGGGGTATAACAAAATATGGACAAATCTTGTTTTTAATTAACTGTGTCTTTATGTATTTTGACCATTATATGAGCCTGGCCATAGGAAAACTGGTCTTATCACAAAAATTAGAATTGTGCTACAGAGCCAAAAATGTGCCCAAGATTAAGAGGAAAATATGCTAAATTCAAGTCCGACTTTTTGGTCTATATATGCAAGGAAAACTTGTTAAGACATAAGCCATGGCTCATTTGAAAGGTCTCTTTGTGCTTTCTAAGATAAACAAAAAATCAGAATATTGAAAAAATCTGTGATAAGACTCCTTTTCCTGTGGCTTGGCTCATATTTAACATGTTGATGTTAAAAATGCAATCAAATAATTAAGTAATTATAATCCAAGTATTGCAAACAAACTATATATATCACCACGTATTAGTGCAATATGAAAAAAGATAATATGAAAAAAGATACAATAACCGGCCTAAATCGGGTCTCTCATGAAAGCGTTTTCTGACTTAATTATTGACTTTGATAATTAATAAAAAGATAATTAGTAGGCCCCCATGTATGTTTTTTTCAGGAAATTATTACTTTGCATCCTCCGATCACAGGGCTTCAAAATCCAGAATATATTCTTTCTTTTTACCCCCTGCGATAAGCAGTTAGGATTTCCCCGATTAAGAACTCGCAATCTGATTGGCTGTCGCAACACTGCGACAGAAATCATGTATAAGTCATTGCGCATAATTAGATCACGTGATTCCAAATTGGTTATAGCAGGGGGAAGAAGGAGGTACAGATTCTGGATACCTGCTCAGGAGGATGATTACTTTGTACCCCCCCCCCCCTTTTGGTACTAATATTTATAAAAATTCGAATTTAAGTTGAAAAGTGGTGTGAAATTTGAATATTTGAAAAAGAAAAAGCTGGCAATTTTTTTTCATTTTTTCTCAAAAATCTCTAAAATACCTTTTAAGGTCAGAATATATAGAAGATGAATGATAAAAACATACATGTACTTTCAAAGTTTACATCGCGCATTTAAGAATACATGAATGACATGAAATTTTGTGAGCAAAATATATTGTAAATTTGTTTTAAAATTGTTTTTAAAGCAAATTCTCTTGGGTCTCAAGTAAAAATGCTTCGCTTACCATCCGCCATGATTGAATCTGCCGAAACGAAGATGAAAAACATCATTAGGAAAAGAGATCTCATGGTGTGCTTGTCGTTTGTCTCCTACAAAGTCAAATAGTAAAGTCAGTTTATATTCTTTAACTTTTGAACAGAATAACTCAAGAAATAAATTAAATTATTGTTAAATTGATTCATCACATACTAGTTATTGTATATAGGTTGTTGCCATTGGATAAATGGTTCTTGTCCCGTTATGATATTGAATTCATACCTTAATTGTTTTTTTTGAAAAAACAATGATTTGACAATGACGATCAACGAACTTTACCAAAATTCCAGATATTTGATTAATTACTATCTTAGACGATAACTCTACTAGCTCCGTCTTTTGCACCATATTGAAGTAGAAACGTTGTAAATTAGTGTAACCGGTCTTCAGGCTCGGAATGTAACCGATTTTATAGTCATGGGAGACACAGTAATTTTAAAATTGAAAATGAAGGTAATGTATGGATCAGTTTTGCATCATTTATTTGTTACGAATAGAATTGAGTTGTAACGATTTAAGAAAGTGCAAAAGATAATTTATTTTAGATTTAGACCAGTTAAAATTGGAATAAGAACAAAGTTATAAAAATCTTGCCTTTGGATCAACTATTTGCTATCCTAGGTGAAAAACAGGTCCCAAACCTGACTCCGGTCAAACTGGATCTATTTCCCCTTCATATAAGTTTTTTTTTGATTGAGGCAGAAACAGATACTAAATACAGGCAGATACTAAATACCAATAGGTAAGTACAAGTAAGAGTAAAAAGGTCCAAGTCTTAAACTGGAAATGATTCTGAATAAATGAAAGACATTCAATTTTCAACCAGATACATCTCCCTTTCAGTCGGTACACTTATGAGACTCGGGATCGGTTACCTATACCGTTGTAGTCATTTGAAAAAGATTTTTATGTTCATCAGAGGCTAGTTTGAGCTTTATCAAATATCTAATACAGATGGAACGACTAAGTTCGTCTCAAAGAGCTTTGCATTCTGGTAATAATTTGACTTTCGAATTCTAAAATGCATCACTATTAAACCATGTATCAATCAACGGCAAAAATCCGAACTTAGGCAGTCTGCAACCGTTTCCTCTGAAAATAGAGACAGTTACAATCGCATTTCCTAAAACGTTGGAAGATGAATTTCATTTTAGGTAGAGTAAGATTAATTGATTTAAATCGTGATGATGAATGCGTAATTCGGATAGTTCTAGTTTTATACATATCACGTATAATACGATGAGCAGCACCAACAATTAGCGTTCGATTTGATAAACGTTATACGTTACGCCGCTGCTACGATTGACGTTTTCTAGGCGCAAAATGCCACCCGTTGTTCAAAACAAAGAAGGGGAAAATGTTCAACATTATGAATAAAACAGGAATGAACTTAACCAGTCTGTAGAAAAAAATTCGGTTACACTCGGAGCCTGAGGACCGGCTACCCTCATTTAGAACGATTCCTCTTCGACTCCGACATTTATAGATGTTTATTGTACGAAGACGACAATTATACAAAGACAAGTTAATATAAAGTTCAGCTGAGCTCATTTTTTACCTCAAATTCTAGACTTTTTAAACCTAAATTGAATTTTCAACCTTGAAGTATATAAAAAGAAATACTTACCATATTTAACAGTCGAGATCTACAAGGATAACTTCTCTTATAGAAAAAGGATTGTATTAGATACAGAAAAATCTTAGCCTGAGAGTCAAACTTGCCAAAATCGCGAAATCAATTGTTGTCTTCTGGTTAGGCAGTTACTTTATCGTTGTGAACATCTTAATGTCAATTGTTTCTCTTTTGCATCGTTGGAAGTTGACCCAATATTTATAAAAGTTTTCTTTTCTGTGTCGAGAAGACACTTGTTCGAACTACTTTCAAATTGTTTACTCTGCAGCGAATGCCTGCACGCCTTTATATATTATTTGATTTGGGACAATATCCTGGAAAATTCACCGTTACAGGTAACATTATCCCGATAATGCATTTAATTATACATCATGTATGAATCGGAGTGTTTTTTGTTATTATCATACAGACATTTGTAATTAATGAATGTACAGATGTCACAGTGTTCAAAATTATACATTGAATTGATGAAGTCATGAAAAGATGTCAAAATGTGGTAAAACGCAATATGTTTATTGAGAACATTCAATCTGAGTCGCAACCTGACAAATACAAAAACGGTCATACATTTTCTGTTCTATAGCACAATTAGTTTGGAACGTAACAATCAATTACAAATTTTCTATTGATTCTATCTATGTATAAACAATAGAAGACAATCGGTTTTCCTCGTGGCACAATCAGCCAAGCACAATCAAGGACTATAGTGGTTTTCAGAGGCACAATCACTCAATGAGATAGAAACGACTTTCCTTATTATTTGAAGCATAAACACAATCAAAGCACATTCAAAACAGATCGTTCATTTTTGAAGCACAAATAGTCATGAACAACCAATAACAAACATCATACTGTGTATTGGTATACCAGTAACGCATAAGCAATGCCTTTATTCTTTCTTGTTCTTCAATTAGTCAAGCCCGATCAATGACTATCCTTCTCTCTGGAGGCATAGTCGGTCAAGCACAATCGAAAAGTGTTGTTCTTTCCCGCGGCACAATCAGTTGAACACAATCTACAACTTTCGTTATTTCGTGATGCGCAATCAATCAAGCACAATTTTAGTTGCTATGTGTTACTTGAAGCATGAGTATAAGCTGTCTTTATTATGGCACAATCAGTCAAGGACAATGGAGGGCTATCGTTCTTTCCTGTTGCACAACCAGTCTGGCGTAATCAAGGACTATCGTTCATTCTTGATGCAAAGTTAAAGCTTTCAAAATTATTTTCCTGATTCATTCCATTTAATCAACTAATATGGCCCTTGCACACGCAAGCTCGTGATCAAAATCATATAACTAATTGACAAACAGAAGTTAATACCAAAAGCCGCGCATTAAAAAGCAAATGTGATTGTTAAGCTTTAGGCATCGTCTCAAATGCTTCACAGAAATTCATATCAAATTGTTCATATTTGTTTACTTGGTGGTTAATAAAAGTCTGTTTTTAACTCAAAGGTGTATAAAGCTTTTAAAGTTTATACGGAAACAAGTCTCAATTTCAAGAAATATGGCAATGTAATTGACCATTGTATGATTTAGTGTCAATTTTTGAGATGGCCCCAAAACATACTCCATTGAGTCGGTCGTAGCATATTTGGACAACTCATTTTCATTAACAACATATTACAAAGGCCTACTTTCTGAATTCCCAATTTGATTACGTTATATGCGAACGCCTCTCATCTTCCCATTGTACGTCTAGTCTAAACACAATATATTTTTCGCATTAAAAAAGCCTGATATGTCAACACATTTTTCGCATTTAAATTAAGAATCTACTTACATGTATATCATTTTACAACAGCGGCACTACTGAAATTTATTGTGCATCAACGGACTTATCTAAAATACATATTAAGTATTTGATATTAAAATATTCTATTTAAAATCGTTGTAGTTACATTCCATTTAAAATATGTACAAATCTCAAATTAATTGATTTCATCCTGCTCCGATGTGCACGATTAAGTGGCTAGTCGAAATGTGTGGATTCAGTCATGCACATGATATGCCTGGGTCACATAATTTGCCCCGATCCATCGGTCGGCGCCCAGCCGATTGAGTGTTCTGTTCATTATCGTATTCAATCTTAAACAAAATACTCAATCGGCCGGGCGCCGTAGTGAAAATCGGAAAAAAATGTGACCAAGGCATTATGTAACAAAAGTTCACGCCTCTATACTTTTCAATGGAAGAATTTTGCACTTTTGTTAAAATAGTCTATATAATGCCTTGGTCACATTTGCTCCGATTTTCACCACGGCGCCAAGAGTGTTTTGTTCAAAATTTAAATAAAATTTAATTGAATATTGAACAAAACACTCAATCGGGCGGGCGCCGGCCGATGGATCGGAGCAAATGTGACCCAGGCGGTACTCATCTTTGTTCAGTATATCATGTTTCATCGATTTGCCGACTTGTTGCTACGCTATAAAAACACATTCGGTTATATTGTTACGGTGAATAGATAGAATTATTACACCAAAAGTAGTCACGCTGTATCCATCCCGGTCCCGCTCCTAAAAAATTCACTAAAATTTTTTTTAATATGTTTTCAATTTTTTGTGTTAATTTTTTGTCAATTATTCACGTTTTTTCAATTTCTTTTCAATTTTTTTTAACATTTTTTCTTCACATTTTTTAATTTAAAAAAAATTCTTTCTTTCAAATCTTTTGAAAATCTCGCAAACTTTAAGACCAAGGAAACGCGTACCTTAAGCATGTTTTGGTTTTTTGGGAATTTTATAAGGTATGATGTTCCAAGAACCTCAGTAGGTATGAAATACATATTTTATGTACGGTCGATTTTGGATACAGGGTTTATCTCGCGCGGGAAATATTTGTATCTCCCTCGGTCCCTGCGGTCCCTCGGCTGATACACATATTTCCCTCAACCCTGTATGAATAAACCTGTATCAATATGCTGAATTATCATCTATCAAACAGAGTCATAATCATAGTTTCGTATTTTCCAGCGTATTAGAAGAGGAGCGAAACCCCCAGAGCTTCAGCGAAGACAGCCATACTACGTCTCTTGCGTACCTTCTTCGTTTGCGCAAATTCTCACCAGTTAGTTTTTGAATATAACACGTCGCTGTGATGTTTTAATCGAGGAAGCTCATTCCTTACATCTTTCCTCGATTTGATGTGAAATAAGAGGCTATGATATCATTCAACACGCCAGAAATGAACATAATATTATTCGAAGCGTTATTAAAAACTTTTGAATCCGCAATTTTTGTTTGTCGATTTGGACCAATCGGGACGGTGGGTCATCTCAATACAGATTTACAATAGACGTACGTCATCTTTGAACCCTGGGATTTCTCCCCCTCTTGCATATTAGCAATAAGGTTACATTCAATATTCTATGAATTTAAATTTCATTGGCATCAAGTTCCAACTATCCTAACTTTGC